TTCGACCCACGTTAGCAGAGCCCAAAAGAACCAGGTGTCACCGCCTAAGCTGAACATCCCAAGTGTTGTTGTACGGAAAACAACTGGTGATTTGGTCGCACAGTCTACCCTCAAGAATGTTCATCCGGTCATCAAAGAGCCCAAGACTCAAAAACGTGCCTTGACCTCCAAACAACAAGGTATTAAACCTGAACCCATCGGGAAACCTGGTAAATCAACAACAGTTCGTGACGATTCTCTCATAATCATGAACCTCATTGACAATCCTGACCCTCCTCTCAGTCTGCAGGACAAAAATGATAGGACGCTCTGGGGTGAATTGAACAAGAAGCTCAAACTTCCTAGAATAGAGCCTTTGACGGTCACCCGAGGCTCCTTCGAGTAACACTTAAGAATGCTACCGACGTAGAGGACGTCTTGCTAGCCAGTCACTTGCTGAAATCCGATGGGAACGTAAGAATATTGCCCGACATACCGTACTCTGAGCGCAATATCATACGGAACACCCCTAAAGAATCTCGCGAGAAGTTTTTCCGCGGAAGAAACATAATTGTGCAAGGTATACCGGAAAATACGGACCCTAATCAATCAAACTCTGACATGGAATGGAAATTCATCAAACAGTCCTTGAGACTCAAACACATACTGACTCAGCATGTGACGAGACTAGCCAAGAAGGATGGTGATCCTAGACCCCGTCTAATGAAGATAACCTTCCCATCCTCCCACATGGCGGCTGCAACTCTGGAAGCATTTCGTGCAAACAGACGTCGATTGCTACCTGGAAAGGCCATACGAAGCTAGGACCAAACACAAAGGCAAGATGAAGCTGATCATTCCACTTGTGGACTGTCTAGATGATAAAAAACGTGTAAAGGACAGGGCCTACCACCTCGGCAAACCTCATATAGGTGGGCTACCTGTCCATTCACGTAAGGCTCATACAGACGAACAGGACGAAGCTCACGCGTTCTAAATTGAAAGCATAAACTGCTTATATATGAACGCCGCGAGTCTACCAAACAAACTGGATGAACTACGTGAACTTAGCAACGCTAATAAGGCCCATCTGATAGGAATATCTGAAACCTGGATATCTTCTCAGTTCTCGGACCAAGAGTTAGCATTACCTGGGATGTCTTTGTTCCGCAACGACAGAAAATTAGGAATTGGGGGCGGAGTAGCCGTATACATACGTTCTTGCTTGGAGGTGCACCAAGTTCATAACCTCGAGTTTAACAATCTTGAGGAATCCATATGGTGCTCTGTAAGATTGTCTAGTACTTCGAGGTGTCTAGTCAGAGTCATTTACAGGAAGCCAACTGCCGACATCGAGTACGATAGTCGTATGCTGGAAGGGCTATCCCGCTCTACTCGTTTCGGTTTTACACACATCCTGATTCTAGGGGACTTTAATCTCCCTAGAGTCAACTTCGCGGATCACACGCATACTGGAGGCGATAACTCAATTGAAGCTCGGTTCTTCAACCTCATCGATGACTTGCGATTATACGAAAATGTGAGGTCGGCAACTCGTTGGAGAAACAGTCAGACACCATCGCGCTTAGACTGTGTATTCACAAACGAAGAATCCCTAGTTGACAACCCCTCAATCCTGGCGACACATTACCCTCAGACATTTCAACCGACCGACATTGCAGATGAAACTGTCATCAGTAAAGTTGATGTCAGCCGGTTGAAATGTCTGAGAGTAATGTGTCGCCAGGATTGAGGGGTTGTCAACTAGGGATTCTTCGTTTGTGAATACACAGTCTAAGCGCGATGGTGTCTGACTGTTTCTCCAACGAGTTGCCGACCTCACATTTTCGTATAATCGCAAGTCATCGATGAGGTTGAAGAACCGAGCTTCAATTGAGTTATCGCCTCCAGTATGCGTGTGATCCGCGAAGTTGACTCTAGGGAGATTAAAGTCCCCTAGAATCAGGATGTGTGTAAAACCGAAACGAGTAGAGCGGGATAGCCCTTCCAGCATACGACTATCGTACTCGATGTCGGCAGTTGGCTTCCTGTAAATGACTCTGACTAGACACCTCGAAGTACTAGACAATCTTACAGAGCACCATATGGATTCCTCAAGATTGTTAAACTCGAGGTTATGAACTTGGTGCACCTCCAAGCAAGAACGTATGTATACGGCTACTCCGCCCCCAATTCCTAATTTTCTGTCGTTGCGGAACAAAGACATCCCAGGTAATGCTAACTCTTGGTCCGAGAACTGAGAAGATATCCAGGTTTCAGATATTCCTATCAGATGGGCCTTATTAGCGTTGCTAAGTTCACGTAGTTCATCCAGTTTGTTTGGTAGACTCGCGGCGTTCATATATAAGCAGTTTATGCTTTCAATTTAGAACGCGTGAGCTTCGTCCTGTTCGTCTGTATGAGCCTTACGTGAATGGACAGGTAGCCCACCTATATGAGGTTTGCCGAGGTGGTAGGCCCTGTCCTTTACACGTTTTTATCATCTAGACAGTCCACAAGTGGAATGATCAGCTTCATCTTGCCTTTGTGTTTGGTCCTAGCTTCGTATGGCCTTTCCAGGTAGCAATCGACGTCTGTTTGCACGAAATGCTTCCAGAGTTGCAGCCGCCATGTGGGAGGATGGGAAGGTTATCTTCATTAGACGGGGTCTAGGATCACCATCCTTCTTGGCTAGTCTCGTCACATGCTGAGTCAGTATGTGTTTGAGTCTCAAGGACTGTTTGATGAATTTCCATTCCATGTCAGAGTTTGATTGATTAGGGTCCGTATTTTCCGGTATACCTTGCACAATTATGTTTCTTCCGCGGAAAAACTTCTCGCGAGATTCTTTAGGGGTGTTCCGTATGATATTGCGCTCAGAGTACGGTATGTCGGGCAATATTCTTACGTTCCCATCGGATTTCAGCAAGTGACTGGCTAGCAAGACGTCCTCTACGTCGGTAGCATTCTTAAGTGTTACTCGAAGGAGCCTCGGGTGACCGTCAAAGGCTCTATTCTAGGAAGTTTGAGCTTCTTGTTCAATTCACCCCAGAGCGTCCTATCATTTTTGTCCTGCAGACTGAGAGGAGGGTCAGGATTGTCAATGAGGTTCATGATTATGAGAGAATCGTCACGAACTGTTGTTGATTTACCAGGTTTCCCGATGGGTTCAGGTTTAATACCTTGTTGTTTGGAGGTCAAGGCACGTTTTTGAGTCTTGGGCTCTTTGATGACCGGATGAACATTCTTGAGGGTAGACTGTGCGACCAAATCACCAGTTGTTTTCCGTACAACAACACTTGGGATGTTCAGCTTAGGCGGTGACACCTGGTTCTTTTGGGCTCTGCTAACGTGGGTCGAATCACCTACAGGGTTTTTGAGAACCACCGTTGTGTTCAGGGACCCTGAGCTGGGAGACCCGAGTTTACTTAGGGAGTCTAATACCGTCGACGTAATGATGGTGCTGAGCTTCAACACGTCATCATTAGTGCTAATGGATGCTCCATCGATGGTATACCTGTCGACATCCCTAATCTTGTGTTCATTGCGCGCTCTTGTTTGTTTGCCCGTCTTTTTACTGTCGTTATCCAAGTTTGCTGACAACTTGTTCCGCAGACCTGTCAGTAGGACAATGATGTTACTCAGCAAGACTACAGCGTCCGTGCTGCACGTGACACATACCCACTTTTGGTCCGACTTGCTGAGTCTATTGTAAACAGTTGCCGTCAGATCTGTGCACGCTTCGTGGAACCAACCTTTGCAGTTGTCGCACTGCATGCCAGTTGTAACAGCAAAACGGCATCCAGGACGTTTGCGTGAGTTTTTCATGACTATGTTGAAGCAAACTATGTTATAGATGCTTGCAAAAGCCTAAGACCGTAAAAATACACTAAAAGGCACACTGAAAACGGACAAAAATGGATAAAAACGAGTGAGATAAACTGAATTGGTCTTAACGTGAAAAAAAACCGAATAGTAATCTGAGGCAAAACCACAGTTAACTATTAAATATGGTGAAACTCAAAAAAAGTAATCTACCGAACGCATAGCTCAGGATAGATTCTTTAGAACGGAAATGGTATTTTTGTTGGGTAAGAACACAGCAAAAGTCTGATAAATGCAATTCACGTTAGGACTATACTTCCCCTTAAGAAAGCGCATCTTCTAAGAGCACCATGCTGGAACTCGCTGCCGGCCGAGCTAATCTAAGAGATTTCCGAGGAATTCTTTAAGATTCAAGTTTACCTATTCTTAAGAACCAAGGACAGCATCATACTATAATTTGCTAAATTCTTTTCCCTCTTTTATTTTCCACGTTCCTCGGCTCTGACGGATAATGTATGGACGCGGTAAAGGTGGAAAGTCTCGTGCTAAGGCGAAAACACGATTAGCACGTGCTGGTCTGCAGTTCCCAGTTGGTCGTGTCCATCGCCTCCTTCGCAAGGGTAACTACGCAGAGCGTGTCGGGGCTGGTGCCCCTGTTTATTTGGCAGCTGTCCTCGAGTACCTGGCGGCTGTAGTTCTTGAGTTGTCTGGCAATGCCGCTCGTGACAACAAGAATACCTAGGTTCCTTTCCGGAGGATTTGGTGATCCCCTGCTACTAGACACGGAAGCCTGTTAAGCGAAAGTTTTTTCTATTCCGTCAACAACCATTTGAACTACTATGGACAAAGTGGAACGTTTTGATAATCACATTAGCAAACAGGACGTTGATAAATATGAGCACTTTAAGAAAGCAAAATATTTAAATTTCACGGCCTGATGACCAAGTATCATGTTTATAGCAAACTGAAGAGACTAAAATTGGTATGAAATTAATAGCAACGACTTACAAAACCTTCCTGAATTTCCAAATGGGTCAACTTATTTGTAATAGGCGCTGCTGTATTACTACACTGTGAATCTTCGACAAATATTACGTAAAAATACAAAATTGTTTATTTTAATTACAGTCCATTAATTATTTTACAAACTTCATGTTTTTTGTTTAAGTTTACTGTCTTTCAATGGCAGCTCCTGCGTTAATGTAAGTTGGCTGCATATCTCATTTTCTGTTTTATTCAAAAAAATAAATTAAAATTTCTAAACCGTCTGACAGCATGTAGTCCATGTTAGACCAAGCTTAGTTTTTGCAGTTTCTCTTTGTCACACCAAGATTTTTATCTATCCATATGTTTATTTATATTTAATTCCGTGTTTTATTGACTTGAATAGTCTAGACAGTACGTTTTTGAGTGAAACACTACAACTTTTAGTATGACACGTTTGGTATTATCCAATGAAGTCTGGTTTTACTGACTTCAGATGTTACTTTGGTGTTCATTCAGTTTCGAGCGTGTATCAGTCTTTACTGACAAGCACAGGAAATCAGCTGACCAAGTATTTGAAAGTGTTTACTCACAGGGATAGTATTCCTTTGGGTGTATTGCGCTGCCTGTTGACAATAAGATTTCACCCTTTGGTCATGGTTCTGAAACATTTTCGTAATGGCCTCGGAGATGACTAGCCTTCAAGAGCTGATAATAGTTATGAGGTTAGGATCTCAAAATCATATTGCATCCACGATCATCTGAGTGGTTAAAATAAACTGTCTGCCTCACTGCAAATGTCCCTTAGTTTTTACTTAACACCAACCGGGATGTCTGCACCACATTATGTAATCCTAACCAGCATTAAGTTTTGTGTAACTCATCAAGAACATATTCCATTACCGATTGTAAGTCACACTTTTGTCTATGGAAATTATTGACGTTGCTCGATTCTCCATATCAATATAAATAGATGAACTAAGTCTTGAATATCAAAACACCATAACATTCCCTTTTTGGGTTGAGGTTTTAATGTTTAGTAGATATAGTCGATTCCTAATTAATTAATATAATCCCGAGCGATACATGGTGTACAACGATGCAGCATGTCCACATGTTAAATTGCTTATGTAACGATTGATGACGTCGACCATGGTGGCTTATTATAAACTGACTACTCCACCTGGCCTCGTTGTGTAGTGCTAAGTGTAGAAGCCACTTCGGTGACGTTCGTGACGTGTTCTAATCACGACAGCGTGTCCCAGTGTAATGTCACTAACTGACCTATTGTCGTCGCACGAACACATGACCGGACCTCCTCATTGTTAGTTGTCGTTGAATGTCCACAACCCTTTAGAGAAAACGACGATCAAACACAGAGTTGTTTAACACTTCAACTCAAAGAGGTCATATCTCACAAGCATGAAACAAAACTGTTCTCATCGACACATTTTAGGTCCAACCCTTTACATCCAAATTATCACGCAGGTGCCAAAGTTGGCTGATATTGGCATATTCTCATCTGGCTTTCCAAAATGTCGTCGACGGCGAACTCGAGTTAGTTGTGGTTTGATTAAACAACTTTGTCTAACCGCGCTTCCAGAATGAAACAGGGGAATGTTTTGTGTTCTTACTCTACCCGAGGTGTTGGTGTACAGAATCTTTAAGATGATAGCAAACTTCCCAAACACCCTTTAACAGACAATCCCAGAGCACAGTTCTATCCAACTAATCGAAGTTGATTCTGATGTCGAGAAACAACCATTGTTGGCTTGCGATAAGTGTGTCCTAACATTCAGTGAAGGGTGAAAATGTGACTGCTACATTCATGATTTTATCATAAACCAGTTTGCGAAATATAGTGTGATTAATGATAATCATGTTCCGCCTGTTTTGCAACTTTACATCCTAATCATTTCTGAAAAACTAAAACTTATGGTTTCCTTATTGATGGTGCATCGGACTTTTCCACTTACCAATTATTAGATTCGTTTTATTAACTGCTGATTGTTAATGGCTTTAAATCTAATTAGATCCAGTCTTGTTGGTAATCTTATAACTTACACCTGACTGTCATGTTTTTAATGTAGTCCTTAAAAGTAAGAGGAATTTCGCTGACTAATATTTGGCCGTATCATCATGAAATTGCTTGCACATGGCGAAACACCTAATTGACATTGCTTAATTTAGTCCAAAGGTCGAGTGCCTAATCCGCCGAAATATGGAGAACTGTTTGATATGACTGTGAATGTTCGTCAGCCTCAATAACCGTCTATTTCGACGGCCATTTCTGCCTAGTGTATGAGTAAGCTGAAAAATATTTACCAGCGACCAAACGCTTCCCCTAGATCTTGCGTTTCACTACTAACTGATACTTATTATGCTATTATTTTATTCCTGGAACCATATTACCAGTCTTGCTATCAGTGACACCTATCTCGACTCTTGCTACTGTCTTTATGGACTTCACCTCATTGTTTTGAAACGGTGTAACTCATTGAACCGAATCACACTTATACTATATCCTTCGTTTTATTAAAGGTAACTTATGCCTATAACTTACCCACTGTAGTGGTTTAACGGCATATAGGATATGTTTCTGGGACTTCATGTGTTTCCATTTTGTTTTAGAGTATGAATTGATCTCAAGTATGGATTACGCCAAACTTAGTAGCTATCGACACGCCGATCCTTTAAAAGTGCGTCAAGTTTGGGATGCTTTTGGTGTACTTAAATCCCACCGACTAGCAGTACCAGCAGACAAAATTAGCAAAATTCTTCGCAAAACATTGGATCTAAAAGATGATCAAATAAGGTTACTCCTTGATGAAATTGAAGGTGATGGATTAATTGAAAAAATAGAGCCTCCGTTCGGTAAAAATGGTATGGTTCGTTACCAGCTTCCTGACTTTTCAAAACAGCATCCTAGAGGCAAACATGATTGGTATTGCTTCCAGTGCCATAGACCTGGTGAAGTTTTACGCTGTCTTGATTGTTTCCGTGTATATCATTCTGATTGTGTTCAAGAAGCATCTGGTCCTAATAGTCCATCAAGAAAGTCTATGCGTTCACCAACTCTTCATGATGGGCAGGAAGATAATTTTACTTGTCCTGTATGCGAATCTCGACCGAAATGTGAATTCTCCCGCAAGCAGATAAGGAAGCTATTGGAATTTGCAACCCATCAATTGAGGAAGCAGCCATTGTGGAAAACATTTATTCAAGTTGGGTATAAAGGTGAAATAACAAAAAATGAGTACCTTGTGTATAAGTACACTGATCTAGAGTTATTGCAACGCAAGATAAAAGATGGTCGGTATGCTGCTTTAGAGGAATTTTCTATGGATGTACAATTGCTTGTTCATGATGTCTGCATTCTTCATGGCCCTTATAGTAATCAAGCCGATGAGATACGATTTTTCTTTCGATCTGTTAATACAGAATTAAATGAAATCCAATTGTGTACTGACTGTTATATCAACGCTAAGGCTCGTGTTACAGACTGGATTAGTAAACCCTGCAAACCACGTCATGAATTGATATGGGCACGCAATCGCACATCAGCAGGGGCTGGCTTGTTCAACGATACTTCAGTCTCTCAATTCTATTGGCCTGCAAAAGTTTTGTTGGAACGCGATGACGGATATGAGGTAAGTTGCCTATTTTATTATCATGAACGTTTTCTAGCGAATACGTAATCAAGACTGATACTCTAGGGGAACAGGGCTTATTAATTACAAACGAACAATAATTGAACTCACGTTACGTTTCATTAGAATACGGTTGGATTCTTATTCTGTGCGGCTGTCTGACTAGTTTATTTATCTACTATATAATACATGTGGCTCGAACTAACACATGTATTCGAAGTTTCTATGAAATAAATCGACCTTTATCTGTTTCAGGAAGTTTACTTTCGAAATATACCTACTCAACAAACAAATGTATATAGTGGTGTTTCGGTACCAAGTAAAAGCTCCATAGCTCAGACAATCTGAATTTATTGATGCATACTTTGTTATTTTCAGTTGAGTCATTCTATCTGTGGATACACAAAATTTTTTCCTCTAATCATTTTACCTTACAAGTGTTCAGTAGCAAGTCTCAAAGTTGTCTTTAGTTTTGCCACTCTTTAAGTTGAGTTTATTCACTTAGTTCCAAATTCTTCGAATAAGTATAGCAATTTTCGGATTTAATTTTATAGATTTTATCCTTTTCTTTCTTAATGTGTGTTCTAGATACGCTTCTTTGGAGGCTCCCATGAGCGGATGTTCGTAAAGAAAGCCCATACTCGTGCTTTTCACCTCCCAGCTGATGAAGTTGGTGTACTTCGACGTTCAAACGCGACAGGTGCGATCTCAGGTGGAGGATTTGAACGAGCTTGGAATGAAGTTAGTAAATTACAAGCTAACATCGATAGTGGATATTACACACATTCTTCTGGTGAAAGCGATCTTCCCCCTTCTGATGATGATTACTCTGACGAAATGTATCTTGGTCCGCGGCGTAAAACCGTCATCCAGAGTCAACGTTCACATCGTGCAGATAGTCCTAGATCGTCTCTTACTTCTGGTAATACCAAGGCTAACAAAAGGAGGTAATCAAACTATATTTTCTCACGTTCTATATATGTCTTTTACACGACACTAAGTGGTTCTCTTATGTAGCTGGTGCCACTGTATTACGTGTTCATTCGTCATATTATATTGACTTTCCTCAGGTATTTTGGACATAATTGTACTTTTTATACCCGAACTTCTCTGTAATATTTTCTTTGTTGTCTTCTGTGTTAGCTTAGCTAGTTATGTTTGATTGACCTCGTCATTCGATTAGTACTACTTTAATGAACGAGAACACAAGTGGGGACAATCGACAGCTTAAAATTATACATGCCCTTATCACCCTTATTAAGTACAATTGTGCTTCATTTTTTTACCCGTAGTAGTAATACTACCGAGCTGTCTAAACAAATCAGACTGGGTTGAGTTGTAACGTGTGACTTGATGATTCCATGTTAACTTCTGACTTTGAACTGCTCACCTCGTAGTGTTAATATTTATTGGTATTTAGGTATATATTTTAAAATTTATTCTTGATTTTACTAGAAATTATTAAACTATTAGGAGGTCCTGTGCTCTTTTCGATTTCCCAACATTTTTACGTTTGGTTTGGAAGATGAAAAATTTTTCAGTCTTAATTGTCTTTTTTATTTTTTATACAGGCGTCACACTTCTTCAAGCAGTCATCAAACGACTACTAGTGATACTCCTACTGGTGGCTCACCCACTCGTGATGTCTCACCATGTACTCATGGTGGCAAGCACTTCAGAACCCATGGTCTCTTGCTTAATTCACACACCGATCTTACTGACAAAAAATTGGCGAGTAATCGTCTTCCAATGCCGGTTGTTCAACCCGGTACTCCAGGCGCTGCAGCTATATCCGCCTTAGCAGAGACAAAAGCAGCTATGGCAGCTGCAGTTGGGTCTGGTCGTAGGCCCGCTGGATCATTTACTGCTGACCTCTTATCTTTAACTCATCGTGAGCATGATAAACCTTATCGAAAACAATCAAAAGAAAATCATTCAAACGTTCCGATACGTGGTCAACGGGGTCGAGGGAGACCCCCTCTCCGAGATAGCAAGGGAAGACCTATTCGGCAGCGTAAATACCGAAGTTCGTCTTCATCATCCCATTCTTCAGATAGCCCATCTTCATCTGTTTCATCAGGTTCCTTGTCAGGAGTAGATGTTCCTCGCACCGCAAATAATAGTTCTCAAAACAACTGGTGTTCTAATGTGAGTACTTTTTCTTATTATGTTGTTTTTATGATTTGCTTAATGTGATTTTAATTAGTCGATGCATATGCATTCTCCAGGAGTCTAACCAGTCAACTAAGTTACTTGTTCTGATTTTATTTGATATTTAAGGCCTACCAAATTATGTCATGAGTCAGTTAGCATTATACAGACTTTCTGTTGAATATAACTAATGGTATTCATAACTATGTGTATTAACGGGAATTTGCGTTCGTATTTTGAGAGATAAAAAATGTCTAGATATTTAAAAAATGATGGTTTTATTCTTGATAGTAAGAGAATGATTTACTTTTAGTAAAATAAATTCGATTAAATTCTCTGTTAAGTGTTTTGGTTATATTTCGGGCATTCTCTACTTACTTACAGTTTCAGAATAAAGGTACACAAGGTAGTAAATTGACACTATATTTGGCAAACTGATTCCTCTGTGATTGTCACAAGAGGACTTTTGTCCTTTCTTATAAACTGGCACAATCAGTGATTGAGACCAGTCAGATGGGATTACGTCCAGTTCCCAAATTCTACCTAAGACCTCGGTTAATCTCACTGCTAATACTGAACCACCATCCTTAAAAATCTCAGGAGTAAACCTGTCAGGGCCTGCTGCTCTCCCTCGTTTCAGATTTCTTATGGCTTTTTCAACTTCGTAAAGGGACGGAGGACCTACATTAACTTGCCATTCAGGTGGACTGGAAATCGTGGGAAACCGAAGTGTGGCTGAAGGCCAGTTGACCTGATCCCTAAAGTGTTCTGCCCATCGATCCAATCTCCTGGATTGAGAATGTATAATATGTCCATCTTTCTCTGAGAGTGTTTCGCTAACAGTCGGTTTCCTTAACAAGTTTGAACAATTGTCTGCTATTACCTATTGCCGCTGCCTTTTCCATCTCTCTTGCTTTCGCTACCCACCACTGTTCGCGATCATTGCGTAGACTTCTTGTCAGCTTGCGCTTAAGCTGACTCCGCTCTTCATTATGTTCAGAGCCAAGTGGAATGTGTTTCCGAGCATTTATCAGTGAGATAGATGCTGCTGAGATCCAGTGTTTCCCCCTAACCCTGTGGTTTACTTTACTAGCAGATATCACTGCTGTTTCCACAGCTTTTCGGACATCACCGTCACCTACATGGCTGCTTAACTGTTTTCCTAGTTGTTCCTGGAATATACCCTTAGTTTGACTATCATTAAACAGGACCCTAAAAGGTTTCCTTGCAGCGCCTTCCTTACGTCCAGCAAGACGCAGGCAAATACGCGCTCGCACTGGAGCATGATCTGAATTTAAGCATGTGCTCCAAAATGAGTGACAGACTTCTATCGAACCCCTCCGTCGGTGGCTGATAGCGATGTGATCTATTTGGGTCCAACGTTGAGACGAATAAGGTGTCGCCATGTTAAAAAATGTTTTTCCTTATGCTTGGAGTTAGTATTTGCAAGGAACAGGCGGTTATCTGAGCATAGCTGCAACAGACGGTCGCCATTATCTGTTCTTTGAGCCACGACACCATAAGATTCACCCAGGTGTCTTTCCCTATCGCTTAGTTTACCTACTTGATCATTAAAGTCGCCAGCCACTATCACTACATCAAAGCACCTAGCTTTTCGGAGAAGGTCGGAAAGCTTTATGTAAAACTCGTCTTTTACATCATCTGCGCTGCAGTCAGTAAGAGAATAGGCAGAGGCAACGACGAGTGTTCCTATCTTTTCGGATCCTTATTGTTCCGTGCAGTCGGACAGCGCACAAACGACTGTCTACTGAGATTCACTCTAAGAAAGCTAGTTCTGCCCTAGAGCTCAATGCTATGCCGGCGAGGCCACGGGAAGCAGAATCAGGGCTTCCAGGTACACGAAGTGTGAATCGAGTCGGTTCTTTATTTTGGCATGGTGGGGTCAAATGAGTGACGCTACTCGTATCCTGTATGCGCGTCTCGGAGACGCAGTGCACATCGATGGCGCGGGATTGTAAAGTCCTAGCTAAGGAAGCCTGCTGTCCTATTTGGCACAGTGTTCGGACGTTAAAAGCTCCTACGTGTAGTTTAGAATGTGGTTTCAGGAGACCAGGAATAGCGTTCCGCGTACTCGAATGGTTTGCCCTAGCGGTGCGAGGTGATAAAGAGACGTGAGGAGGGTTAGTCATGGAGATAAGAGAGATATTAGGAGGTGTAGGAGGGATTTGAATGTGACCAACTTGGTCTCGTGGGCTGATATCACTTCCCGGCTGCCCACACCGTGAAAGGGTATCTCTTGAGGAACCTGAAAAGGGAATTGAATTAGTGTTGGTCTCAACGACCTGGGAGCGTGACCGCAGAGCCCAAGGGACAACTACTTGAGACCGGTCGCGCACGGTTTTTTCGTGGAAGGTTTTTAATGTGTTAGCTCCGTTCTTCAAAGGGCCTTACTGCCGGAAACGGAAATCCGTGAGGTGAGGTGTGACATTTTTAGGGTCGACATTTTCTTACCCTTCCTTCCTTGTGGGAAGGCAGCATTACTGTAGATGCTGGGCTTTTTTTTAAGGAAACACCTTACTGCTGTCACACCCCTCAGACCTTGAGTTGCTGCTTTTAGTCTTACCGTTCTCCAATCGACCTGCCTGGCATGGTAGAACCTACAGGAACATATGTTCCAGCCAATATAGCTCGGTTGGGTCATTACGATAGGCAAGCTTGACCACCGCGTCAAGGTAGCAGCTTCGAAGTTAAATAAAAACGACTATCATTATTTGTTCGTGTGCACAAATAATAAGTGCTACTTCGACGGGCGATGTTTTCTGGTATAGGAGTGGGCTAAAAGAAAGCTGACGGCGGTCGAATTAAAACATGGCATCAGTCCATGAAGTCACTGACAATTGGAGTTAGCCAGGTATAGACTACCAGAATAGGGTCTGCGTGATTATCGTAACTAATGGTGAGAGACTTTGAATGACATAATTCAAAGTCGTTTGCAATATCACAAATGCACTCATTTATTGTCTTACCCAAATTCGGGAGTTCTAAATTCCTTGTAAATGTTTTTATTTTGTTTATATTTCACTCATTTATGTTCTTTTCGAATCGTATCTTCGATTCCTTATCTTCCCTATTACCACTGATACTGTGGTGCGTGCGACTTATATTGATATAAGTAGTATATTATGCGAGTCAGGAATGTAATGTCTGACAGCAGAAGATGAGGGAAGATCAAGAAAGCAAGAGCGGGAATAGAATGCAATTTGTATGAAAATGTAAGAACAATGAAGTCTGAGGCATTTTGAAACAGTTGGTGGACATTTTGCAAATTAACGATTTAATATTTGGTTCTCAGATTTTATTGAGATGCTCTGTAATTTTGTGTCAAATACATTCGATTGTCCCCACCCGTGTTTTGTTTAATACATTACTACATCTACGATTCTGGAATTTGGCTTAGTATGCTGCTAATGGGGGTATGGAAACTTGGACCAATCTACATACGCACAGGTTCTGCGTTGTGACTGACTGACAAACACTAATAAGTGTCCTAAAATATTTCCTTGTGCCCCAACTCCTACTTGCTCTTCGAAGTTGTGTACTTCACAGACTGCTTTTGTAACCTTAATTTTACATAATATAACCCGACAGTTTTCGCTCGACTCACTAACATTGTATCAGTATTTGCTTTCCGTTTTACCACCCTCTAATCGACCTTACATTTATGGGAACCAGCATTCCAGCGAAAACTGTCCAACTGTCACCATGATATACATCGGCGTGAATAGGTAGAAGTCGTCTACTCGAACTCGGTCTGTGGTCCTTGCGATAACTCCAACTTAAATAATCAGATATCTTCGTTTGAAAAATGCATACTTTTGTATAATTTGTCCCTTATTCAGATTAGTTGTAACATTCCTTATGGATAATTATTTATTCTCGCTATTCGTTACATGACTAAATAAGATATTTTTATTTGAAATCCCCAATAAACTGGTTTCACTGGAAACTTAAATGTGTTGTTCTCTTTACAATACGGCTTGATGAAGATTCCTTTATTTGGTTTGTTTTACTAGTCCTCTACTGATTGGAAAGTTAAAAAGACTGAAATGCCACGTCGTGGACGTCCACCTAAATCTAGAGGTCGTGTAAAAGCTGGTAAGTTTTTTTCCATAATTTAATTCATATTCGTATTGGTGATAATAAGAGTTGTAAGGACTTTCTTATTGGTTTAAATTTATTTTTCATGAACTGGCATTTAATAAAATAATCAAAAATCCTAAATATCATTCATCTATCTTAATTTAAAATGTATCATAAATTACTTTAACTGTTATCAGACAATTCAGCGACAGTTTTCATAATATTTTTGCCCTTTGAAAACAGTTTAATCTGTGTTTAACAGGAGCCATCCAGTTCCCTCTGGTTTTTAATATTTTTCCAAATGGTTTCAATTCGGTGGAATATATTCAGATATTATCGTACTCAGTGTGTTTCCGGTGAACATACTGGATAAACAGTCTTCTGGACTTTCGTTTTGTTGTTAAAAAGTATATTACTTATCTTCATGGTGGTTATGCGGTGGTTTTTAGCATTCAGTTTTTAAATCAAATATCAGAAGTTTACTTTCAGATATCAAAACATGTAGCGTTATCGTTTCACCACTTAATTTTCATGATTTCAATTCTTGAGTCACGTGCCACAGGATGATTCGGACATCTAAGTAGTGTATTCAGCCCTAATGCTTGCATAACTTATAGTTGTCTACCACTCTTGAACGTCCTAAATAAACCATTACGATCGAGACTAATAATTAACAAGTGGGGAAGGGTGTGAACGTTTGGAAAAAAGAATAACTTCAGTTCTTACGATGGTTTGGTATTTGGAATGCCTGTACCTAGTGGTATTCGTTAGGACTGTTCACACTCTTCTTTTGCAATCATCTTTTTAATTGATATATTTACTTTACGCATAGGCTGCCCACCAGCACTCTCCATCTGACCCTGTGCTGAACAATCCTTCCCAGTTGCTAATCATCCTTTTCATGTCTGCTTCGATTCTCGGCGCAGTGTGTTCTTTGACTTTCCTCTTTTCCGGTTCCCTTCAGGATTCCGAGTTAGGGCTTTCCTCGTGATGCAGTTTGCTGATTTCCATCATGTATGTCCTATCAGCTTCCAACGTTTTTTCCTAATTTCCTCTTCAGCTGGGAACTGGTTTGTTCTCTCTCACAGCAGGCTGCTGACGGTATCCGGCCAGCGGATATTGAATATCGTGCGTAGATAACTGTTTATAAATACTTGTATCATTTCGATTATGGTTGTAGTACTCTAAGTTTCAGCCCCGTACAGTAGGACTGTCATGATGTTCGTATTAAAGATTCAGACTTTGATATTGGTTGACAGACAGTTGTTTTAAGTTCCATGTTTTCTCCAATCGTAGGAATCCTGGTCTTGCTCTGCCAATCTTCACCTTTACGTCTGCATCAGATCCTCCTTGTTCATCGATGATGCTTCACAGATACGTAAAACTGTCCAACCCTTCCAGAGTTTCTTCATCAATTGTGATTGGGTTGGTTGGTGTTCTCCATGTTTATTTGAGCATCTTGGTTTTTCCCTTGTGTATGTCGAGGCCTACTGCTGCAGTGGCTGCTGCTACACTAGTTGTCTTCGCCATCATTTATGTCTGTGTATGAGATATAAGAGTTAGGTGATCTGCAAAGTCCAAATCGTGCAGTTGATCCCGAGCTGTCCATTGTATTCCATGCTTCATGTCAGATTTCGAGGTCTTCATAATCCAGTCGACCACCAGAAGAAAGAGGAAGGGCGGGAGTATACAGCCTTGTCTGACTCAAGTCATTACCTGGAATGCATCTGCCAGTTGTCCTCTATGCACAACTTTGCACTGTAGTCTGTCGCATGAATTCTGTATCATATTAACGTTCTTCCCAGGCACATCATAGTGTCGAAAAAGTTTCCATAATGTTCTCCTATCCACACTGTCAAATGACTTCTCATAGTCAATGAAGTTGATGTATAATGACGAATTACACTGAACTGATTGTCCGACGATGATTTGTAGTGTCGCGATTTGGTCTGTCGACGACCGATCCTTACGAAATCCAGCTTGTCGACCTCGAAGTTGGGCGTCTACTGAGTCTGTCATCCGGTTCAGCAACACTGTTGTAAACTTTTCCTGGTACTGACAGTAGTTAATGCCTCTGAAGTTCTCACATTTGCTCAGATCTTTCTTTGGTCTCTTGATGAGGTGTGCTTCTTTACAGTCCATCGGCACTTGTTCTTCCTCCCAAATTTTCCTGAATAGAAGGTGAAGCATACTTGCAGGTACTTTGATATCTGACTTCAGTGCTTCGGCTGGTATATTGTCAGATCCTGTTGCTTTCCCGCTCTTGATTTGTCTGATAGTCATCGTGATTTCTTCGGCCGTTGGTAGAGTGATATCTATAGGAAGGTGTGTAGGTGTTGCTTCGATGTCCGGTGTATTTAATGGAGGTCTATTCAAGATTTCCTCGAATTATTCCATCTGTGGCGGTCGTCATTAGATATAATTCTTAAACTTCGTATACTGCTCGTTCTGTATATATATATATATATATATATATATATATATATAGGAAAACGAATGAGTCATCAAATCATTTAAGCGACTCACATTGAAACTAGCAGAATGACTATGTGCGTAGCCGGTAAGCAATGATCAAGCATACAAGCACAACAATAATAAAAGTACTAGGGTATACAAAAGTTGTTGTTGTGCGAACGACTCTGTCTCTTAAATAATTTAATAAAAAGGGTTTTGTGGAGAGTTTTAGAAATTTCACAGACCACTGAGCCGGCTAGTGGTTAAGTGCTCGCGCGCGAAGCCAGTAGGTCCTGGGTTCAAGCCCCGCGTGGTGCGGGATCGTGGGTGCGCACTGCTGAGGAGTCCCATACTAGGACGAAACGGCCGTCCAGTGCTTCCAGGTTTTCAATGGTGGTCTAGCTTCAACTGACTCATGAGTTCAATCTGTGAAATTAATAAAAAGGCTTAACGAAATTAAATGTGAACAAACGTTTTGATTAGTACCTTGGAGTCCAGACAAGTTTGATGAACGAAACTTTGGAATTATTTAAATTTCAATCTCTGAGGTAATTTTAAATATAACTTTCACATATAATAGCTTCTCTATACTCGGCGCCTAATTTTTGTCTTACAATTCGTTCTAATATTGACGAATACTCATATAAACTCAAATGTATGTGAGCTGCTATAAACCTATCTGTTCCTTTATTCTGGAATCTCGGTGATTGTCTTACCTTCTCTGTCCTTGACCGGTCTCTCTGGTTTACTATATCTCCCTGCTAGTTTCTTCGTTGTATCATAAAGCTGTTCCATGTTTCCTTCTCTTGTAGCTTTTTCTGCCGTCGTTGCCAGTTCTTCTACGTAATTCTGCTTGTCGATTCTAATGACCTTCACTTTCTTGTTTGCTTCAGTGTATTCAGCTTGTGCCTTGACTTTCTCTGCTCTTGTTCGGCTGTTGTTGATAGCTGTCTTCTTGTTCTTCCTTTCTTGAATCTTGTCCAGTGTCTTCATAGCGATCCATCCCTTATGATGATGCTTGTTGTGGTCCAGCACCTCCTGACATGTTGAAGTTAATACCTCTTTGATCCCTTTCCAGCTGTCCTCCATCGTAGTTTCTTCTTTCAGTGGATCCTTTAAGGCTTATAACCTGTTGTTGATAGTTATCTTGATTTGGCTGAGTTTGTTAGTATCTCGTAGAAACGCTGTATTGAATCTTTGTACTGCTGTTTCCTCAGCTGTCCAATGCTTCTCTAGCTTCAATTTCATCTTGAAAACCACCAAGTAGTGATTTAAAGCTATACCAGCTCCTCCTGGTCCTCACGTCTTCCATTATCCTTCAAGATTTTTTATTGACGCAAATATGATTTATCTGGTTCTTCATGGTATGATCCGGTGAGACCCATGTAGCTTTGTATGTGTTTGTGTGGAAATATTGTGCCGTCTCTAACTATTCTGTTAAATGCACATAGATTTACAAACCTCCCCCTATTCTCGTTCCTTGCTCCCAGTCCATATCATCCCACGATATCTTCATATCCGGTGTTGTTCATTCCGACTTTGGCGTTTAGGTCTCCCATCAAGATGGCGAGATCCTCTCTTGGGTACTTTGCTAGGATTTATTGCAGTCTCTCATAAAAATGATCTTTATTATCGTTGTTGGTGGGTGCATAACATTGGATAACATTCATCGTGATTCTCTTCTTTGTTCTGAAGGATGTTTTGATGGTCCTGGATCCGTAAGATTCCCATCCTATAAATGCATTACGTGCTTCTTTGGACAGCATTAGAGCAACTCCCTGAGTGAGTGAGTGAGTGAGTGAGTGAGTGAGTGAGTGAGTGAGTGAGTGAGTGAGTGAGTGAGTGAGTGAGTGAGTGAGTGAGTGAGTGAGTGAGTGAGTGAGTGAGTGAGTGAGTGAGTGAGTGAGTGAGTGAGTGAGTGAGTGAGTGAGTGAGTGAGTGAGTGAGTGAGTGAGTGAGTGAGTGAGTGAGTGAGTGAGTGAGTGAGTGAGTGAGTGAGTGGAGCATTTTTCTCTTCGTGACCGGAGTACAGCAGCATCTCTCCTGTATCTAGCTTTCGCTGTCCAACTTGGGTCCAATGGGTTTCGCTGATTCGCAGTGCCGCCAAATTGTATCTCCTTATTTCCGTTGCTTTTTGACTGGTCCTCACGTTTTCCAGACGTTCCATGTACCTATAAAAAATTTTGCTTTTGTTGTTAGTAGGAGCATCGGTCTTGTGACTTCCGAAAAATCTCGGCTTTCACCTTGAGGCTTCATAATTCTTCCTTCAACCCGGTGGGCAGAGTTTAAATGCTTTAATTAGTTTAATCTGGTTTGTGGTTTTTTAGAAGAAAATTTTCTATGGCATAGGGTTGCCAACTACATGCACAACCCTCCTTCTTTACCCAAGCTCGGGACCGGTAATAACTGTAGGAGTGCTACAGGTGGAGTTTTTGTCACTTATACGCTTCTGTAGTACTCTAGAACTAGTTAAAATACCATAATCTCAGTGTTTTTACAGTGGCAGAGATCTAACTTTTTTCCTTGTTATTCTTTCTAATTCCCTGTTTTAAGATTAATATTTTGTGAAATTCATCGGTTATTTACTTTACTAGTAGTCACAATTTACTATGACACAATAGTAGATATATCTAGGGAAAGTAATTTCAGTTTTAAAAAGTATTTCAGGATTTGTTCCAACCATTCAAACTCCTAATATGCAGTTTATGCTGTTTTAAATATATCGCAGATTTCTTCAAAGTAATTGTTATACTTCGTTTATCACTCGTTCTGATAACCGATATTAGATAACTCCCAATGGTGTATAAATTTCAGAAGACAATGGAGTGACTGCAGTTTACGGTTGTATAGGACAGACCACAGGTACACGAAACAAATATGAAAATGCTTTCGCGAGGGAATGAAGGAATATAATTTAAGTTATATATATATCTTCTAAAATTTATATATATATATATATATATAGGAGCAAGCGGATGAATCATCGGACGATTTAAGTAAGTAATATTTAAGCTAATGTGTGGGTTGTAACACTCGACCAAGCATACATGATCACCAAAGGATGTGAATAATTGCCTTAAGGTATAAACAAACTGTTATCAACACAAACGACACTATTGAATAAGTTAATCAGGTAAATTATACTATGCTGATGACCTTAGGCGAGTTATCATCTAATCAGGAGACTGTCTAGTTACGAAACAATTAACATTTAAAAGTAACGGAACAGTGAAATAATAGCTTTGATCTGCCTAATTAACCCTCACATGTCAAGTTATCCCTTGCAGTAAAGAAGAAAGGTCAAATTTACATTATAGGAGTCAGGCTAGTGTAGTGAATTAATGCTATCACACTATGGAGTTTTTTTCATCACCTATCATCAGCCTACTACTATGTTTTGCCAGTCTACTATTTGCAAACTTAAGATTTAAAGTGAGAGTTAGAAATGGAGAACATTACCTAGCTTCATAAACGTTTGACTACTCATTAAATCATATCAAGCACTTAAACACACAATCTGCCTTCGGAGCGGGTAGGTTTCGTAATTCAGCCTAAGCATTATCTTAGATTTACTTTCTAATTTTTTAACGGATATTTTGAGAAGCAACTATTTTCGGTTTTCATTTAATTCATAATAACATACAAATTACCAGCCATTGCACTTTAAATTTTGCGCGATTCGCGATAATATATTAGTTCGGATTCGTTAACTCAGGGCCCATCAGTTTACGATAGTTTTACCGTTAATTAAAGAAGTTAATATATTTCAATATGTATAAACTCAGATATAGGCCGTTTTATAATATATGTATAAAGCTTATTCAATATCCTTACACCACCTCGCAAAATTACTGAAGCTTGACCGTGAATTTTCTTTTTTTTTTAAGGCTTTGACGATATAAAAGAAGTTCATTCATGAGAATTTAACTTTCTAAGTATCATGTGTAGCATTATTATTGTAGATTCGTTTGTTTTTCATTTCACTCTTCTATATTGTATATTTCACCGATATTTTTTTCGAATTTATCTACATTTATCATTTCAAAATAATCCACTATTCTATATGGTGTATAAATCAACCTGGTTTACTTTCGTCTCTGAATCCTAGAGTTATTTGGAGAACTTTTTATATAAAATAATTAAGTATACGCAAAGTGAGATTCTTTCTGTACACATCCTTTCATGTTAACCAAATTTAACTTTCATTTTAACTACATTACTACCGTTTCTGCGTAACTTTTATAGTTAACGATATTGTTCGTTCAAGTTGGTGTTCACCAACAGCTGAGAGTTCAGATGCTGAAGGCAATTCAGAATTGTGGACGAAATCGGGTTCTTCAAATGTTATAAAACCTGTAAGTGTATCTTTTTTGGAACTATATGTACTTGTTTTTAAATGAAAAATTTAATTATAAATTCCTCATTCTTTACTATTTAGGCGCATAAACGATTTTGTACACACAAACCATTTGTGCATATTTATCCATTTCTTTCTTAGTAGGACAATGTAAGTCCCTAAAATTCTGAGCCTTACGTATGGTCTATTAACGTGAGTATAGTTTTTGGAACAATTGAGACCACTAAATGTTGTCCCTCACTTAAATTGAGATGTCTGTGTATATGGTTTTTAGGCTGTTAATAAACCTCTTAAATTACAATTTACTAATATTTTAGATTTTCTGACGTTTCGTGACTCAGTGTAAGCCACTTCTCCAGAGAATAAATAACCAATCTACCAAATGTTCAATTTATTCGAAATTATCAAGTCAAACCTTGGTAATGATACCTACAAATTCATGCTTCGTTTAAATCTTAGATGGTGATCAATACACGTCAATAATGAATTATACTATGATCTTACAGTTCTTTCTATAAACTAGCCTCAATACATATAACTTTTTAGAACATATCCTAGTTATTATCATTATTTTCTGCTGACTAGCCGTTAACAATCCCTAATTGTTTTCCATTTATTTAATGACTTCATTTTCAATGTAATTTGACTGGTATTATTGTTTTTATTGTACGTCTTAATGTTATCTTATGTGATGTGGTGACACAGTCATATACAAAATATAGGAGATCAATAATTGATAACAAGCTATCAATTCCACTAGGTTTCATTACTGTCAATAATATGCTGAAGCATCACAACTTCACTCGAAGTAAGAAGAATATAAAGTAATCTCGGCCTCTGAAAGCAAAGAATATAAATAAAAATATTTTTTGTAGGCTTCGCACAAGTGAATTGATCGCATTTTAAGCACATTTTGATGATTAGTCTTATTCAGTGTTGGCCATGTCAGTCATAATTAAGATTGGACGACGTTGAACATCTTTCAAAATCCTATCTCACTGTTCAACAAAATAAAACAGTCGTAAGTAAAGAAAAAATGGCGAATAGCAGTGGGATCCAGGATACGCGTTTTGTCTTGCTTGGGACTCGTCATCTGGGCGTGTCTACATCCTAGAGTTGGTATTCACTCCGGGACCCGAACCCAATATCGTTCACTTCAAACGTCATTGTGTTATCCAACTCTGTTCCAGCCGTTTAATGTTGGTGAAGCCTGGTGGCTTTTCTGGAAATAGGTTCTGTTTTTCCAGACTCACAAACTCACTGTATGGGTGTTATTCCCTGGTGAAATCAGTACCCCCGATTCTCGTCGCGCGGGTATCGCACCAGGTGCAAGTATGCGTTACATACATACAGGTAACATATAAGTTTTCACTTATGCATCCTTTCGCATACATATAGGTTTATTCACTCAGGAGGTTAGATGTTAACCTCTATTCGAACGTATTCGCCATAACTGACTGTCTCTTGAGCATTATATGCATACCACTGATACAAAGACTTTCGCCCTCGCACTTCATGGCGTGCACATAAGCATAAACACTTTCAGGGAGGGTTGATGATCACCTTCCCCTAATATGTGCAATCGTGTCTTTTTATTATATCTTCGACTTGTTGGTTTAGGCAGCTGATTTTATTAGACATAGAGCAGACATATCAGTTTGTTTCTTTTTCAATCCCGGGGTATACCCTCTGCATATGCTTACCTACACAAACTGTGACTCGTGGGATTCACTTACACAAACACACACATCGGGGAGTCCGCAACATTTGAGAGCCTTAATGTTTAAACCCCAAGTAATCCATTTTCAGTTTAGGAGTGGCAGATTAATCCGATCTCTGCTTAGCGCCCGAATGAACTAGCGGGGTTTCCCCCACTACCCAGTGGCTCCACGTGGAGGTTTTGAGTCGGATTTTGCTCCCACGTTATTTAACAGCTGACGCAAATGAACATGAAACAATGCCTAACATTGGATGAGACCTCTGTAAACCACAATTATTCTCCATTACTGTCTGTATGAAAACCAATTACTTACAGTTGAATGGGTGCTACTGTCCTCTGGCATTCAGGAGAATCTAGTTTGTAGTTGTCCTCTGCAACTGAACATATCTCGATGGAAATGTAAACGAGTTTAGATTATTGTTTTGCATATACTTTTCTATTTAATGTTATATTGAATTCTATTGTGAGGACGGACCACGGGTGAACCCGAGGAAGCTGTAAGAGGTTCAGAAGGAGCCGAAGGTATTCCATCCGATCATTTTTTTGGAAGAATATCCTAGAATTCCTACCTGTAGCTTCCCGATTGGACAATGCTAATAACCCCCTGTATGCGGGTTGGAGAACTGTTATGATGATTTCGTTCTTACTAAAAAACTATAAATACCTGACAATTTTGTGCTATGATTCACACTGTCTGGAATAACATTCCTTTCACTACTCTTCTCTCTTCTCACTGCGACTTGTAAGGGTTCTGGCGTTTTGTTGCTCAAGTTATACGCAGTATATCAAGAAAACAACCATCTAGATATAACGTTTATCATGCTTTGCTGAGATAATTATTTAGAGTAAAATTTCTATTCAATCATTATTTCCTACTAACTAGTTACAAATATTACCAACCTAATGTAAACTTTGTAAATAACGCTTCTGTCAAAAAGAAACTAAATTAACATAATGACTAACTGGCTTCAAGTTTCATGTGCATGTTATCTTGAATCCGCACATGTTGAGTAGTCCATCTTTTTTATTGGCATTTTCTCACAGTGTACACTAATTTTTCCATAGGTTTTACTGACTATGCTCATATGTTAAAATTCTCACTAGGTTTACATTACATTTTTGATGGCGCGTAGTTAAACTCTTTCCTCGTTTCCAATTGTTGCTCTAATTATTAGCCTTATTTGACCTTTTTAGAGTCCAACTCGAGGACGACCGAAGTTAGCTGCCTCAAATAGCTCTCTTAATCGTATTGAAGATGCTAAGAGAAAACGGTTAACGATTCCAAATAAAAATTCGACTCAAGATACAGCGAATTCCGGAGGTAAACGTTCTAAAAGGTATTCCAAACAAATGGATAGTTTTGGTAATGTTCGAGATGAAGATGACGAGCTAACTGACCGATGTGATTCTCCCATTGGAAACGACAGTCAGAATTTGAGGCACTCGAATAACTATCGTTGGCATTCGCATCATTCATCAAGTGTTTACAACACATCGGGTACACCTGTTTCTTCAATGAGAAAATCTGGAACTAATGATTCGAGTATCCATAAAACATCACCATCTAAGAAGGCATCTACTGCTAAACAGCGTTCTTCTCATTCTAGCAATTATAGTACATGCTCTTCACCCTCTTCTTCTGATATGGATGACAACGATGAAAGTGGACGCAGACATCGTAATATTGTCAAAGTTGACGATGAAGATGATGACCGTAGATTCCGTAGTCCAACTCGTAGTGGTTCAAGCAACAAGGATAGAACTTCTGGAGCAAGCAGTACAATGTTACGTCGACCACCATTCGCTCCTCCTTTGAGTACATCTGGATCCATTAGTAATTTGAACGCTACTAATGATCGAAACAGTCTATCTACTGCTACAAACTTATTTTCTAATACTGGCCAAAATCTTTTTTCTCCATGCAATGATTCTGTTGCTACAATAAATTCTTCAGTGAATTCAGGAACTTCATCCACTAATAACAGACTAAGTGGTTCCGTTCATCCTACTACATCTAATGCTAATCTTTCTTCACATTTTATATCTTCAGGTGCCTTGTCTAGCAATTCAAATAATGTTGCCACTACTCCCGGAATGTCTACTCTCCCACGTTCACACTTGCCGCCAAATAAACGTGCTGCTGCTGCAGCTACAGCAGCAGCTCTAAACAGAGACTCAGTTGGAGGAGGAGTAAATGATGTTTCAAATGAAACTAATCAACGTCAAGCTTCTGTGAAAAGTCCTGAACTTTCTGTGACATCCTCTCCGAGAAAACAACTTCATAAAGGAATCCAGGTAAGCTGTTATAATCTGTCAGGAAATTTATTTCCTTTTTGTAATTTTTGACCAGTGATTGTATAATTTGAAACTTTTTATTGCTTATAATTTATTACTGGAATGTCCTACTTCGAAACGTTATTATTAATAATGTGAATTTCCGGTTATTATGTGTGATAGAATAAACTTGGTAGTGTAATTTCCTTACGTTGTAATTTATTTTGGCTATCTTAGTCCCTACATGGGTGTTGATGTTTTTTCTCGAATCAGCTTAGTAAAAAACATCTCACTTTGTCAACATAGGTTATAATATATATACTCATATCAGTGTTTTATTCGGTGACTTGATTTGCGTTGCTTTTTTACTATGTCATCCATGTCCATTATAATAGATTCATTGTACTTCAAGTCTTTTTAATAATTTTGTTTGTTCTAAATCTTTTATAATAAGCATCTAGCAAGTATTAGACCTGTTAATTATTGTTCGGTTTCAGCGAAATAGTATGAAGAATAATTGTCATTTAATATTAAGCATTCTTTTTTATTTAGCGCTTATTGTCCAAGATTTTTGATTTTATATATTTTGTTTATTCATTTTTTCTCGTTACCTAGACCCCAGCCAGTATGGAAATACCGATATTATCTCAACAACCATGTTCACAGTGTAAAGAACGTGAAGCAGAACGGTTGGCTGCAGCTAATGATACTAAAAGAGCTTTGCGAGAACTCGAAGAAAAACTCATAGCTCAATTTAAAGAAGAGAAAGCTACCGCTTTACATTCAGCTCTTGAACAAGCTCAAGCCAGTGCTCGTGAGGCTATTGAACATGAACGTAAATTAGCTCATGATACTTTGGAAGCTGCTGAGGCAAGATTTGCAGAAGTTATTGTTCAGACTAAACGTCGACAGTGGTGTCGTAATTGTCTTATAGAGGCTATCTATCATTGTTGTTGGAATACTTCGTACTGTAGTACACAATGCCAACAGGAACATTGGCAAAAAGAACATAAACGTCAGTGTCGTAGAAAACGATGATTTTCAATCATATTCATACCTTATATATATATATCAATCTTGTATATAATCTTGTTATTTTGTCTATTCCACATACATGTACATTACTTTTACCCTTGTTATAATTATAATCTCTGATTATGCCACATCAATAACTGTTGTTTTTTTCGATTTCGGTTTATTTGTTATTCACAATCATGAATATAGTCAATTTCTTTACCCCATCCCCAAGAAAGAAAAGCATTTCAGTAATTTTTCACTTCAAATCTTTCTGTTTCTCAATATATATATATATGTGTATAGGCAGCTGTTCATTTCCGATTATCCTTTCTTATTATATACAAATTAATTAAATCGTAATAATTCAGCTTTAAAAATAAAGTCGTACATTGCATAGCCACTATTAATATACTCGTTTGTGTTTATGTGTGTATGATCTATTTTCAATTTACTTTCTTTCTTCTAACTTGCGTTTACTTAAAATTGTAGTCTGATTGTGACTGCTTTTTTATTCTTGTATTATAGTCGTTTTAATTTCTTTTCTCATCGTTATATTTATTTATTTAAATATAACTTTTCATGTTATTATGTATGAAAGAATAAACTTGGTAGTGTAATTTCCTTACGTTTTAACTTAATTCTGCTATTTTAGTCCCTACATGGGTGTTGATGTTTTTTCTCGAATCAGCTTAGTAAAAAACATCTCACTTTGTCAACATAGGTTAGAATATATATACTCATTACTTACTTACTTACTTACTTACGCCTGTTACTCCCAATGGAGCATAGGCCGCCGACCAGCATTCTCCAACCCACTCTGTCCTGGGCCTTCTTTTCTAGTTCCATCCAATTCTTGTTCATTTTTCTCATGTCTATCTCCATTTCTCGGAGTAATGTGTTCTTTGGTCTTCCTCTTTTACTTTAACCTTCAGTATTCCATGTGAGGGTTTGTCTCGTGACACAATTGGGTGCTTTCCTCAATCTGTGTCCTATCCACTTCCAGCGCTTCTTCCTGATTTCTTCCTCCACTGGGATCTGGTTTGTCCTCTCCCACAGTACGTTGTTGCTAATAGTGTCCGGCCAATGGATCTGAAGTATTTTGCGTAGACAATTGTTAATAAACACCTGTATTTTCTGGATGATGGATTCCGTAGTTCTCCAGGTTTCTGCCCCATACAGTAGAACTGTCTTGACATTTGTATTGAAAATCCCGACCTTGGTGTTGGTTGACAGTTGTTTTGAGTTCCAGATGTACTTCAGTTGTAAATATGCTGCTCTTGCTTTGCTGTTCCGCGCCTTCACATCTGCATCAGATCCACCCTGTTCATCAATGATGCTGCCCAAATATGTAAAGGTTTTTACATCTTCCAGATCTTCTCCGTCAATTGTGATTAGATTGGTGCATGCTGTGTTGTATCGGAGAATCTTGCTTTTCCCTTTGTGTATATTGAGACCTACTGCTGCTGAGGCTGTTGCTACACTGGTCGTTGATAGGAGGGCCAGATCATCTGCGAAGTCTAGATCGTCCAACTGCATTCTAGATGTCCATTGTATCCCATGCTTCCCTTCAGATGTTGACGTCTTCATGATCCAGTCGATCACCAGAAGAAAGAGAAAGGGTGAGAGTAAGCAACCTTGCCTGACATCAGTCTTTACTTCGAACGACTTTGTCAACTGTCCTCCATGCACGATTTTGCAGTGTAATCCACCATATGAATTCTGCATGATATTGACTATCTTCTGAGGCACATCGTAGTGTCGAAGAAGCTTCCATAGTGTTGTTCTGTCCACGCTGTCAAATGCTTTTTCGTAGTCAATGAAGTTGATGTAGAGTGATGAATTCCATTCAATTGATTGTTCCACAATGATTCGTAGAGTTGCGATTTGGTCTGTACACGATCTATCCTTACGGAATCCTGCCTGTTGGTCACGAAGTTGGGCGTCTACGCAGTCCTTCATCCTGTTTAACAATACCCTGTTGAAGACTTTCCCGGTATTGAGAGAAGAGTGATGCCCGTGTAGTTATCACACTTGCTGAGATCGCCCTTCTTTGGTATTTTGATCAGAAGTCCTTCTTCCCAGTCTTTTGGTACTTGTTCCTCATCCCAAATCTTATTGAAGAGAATGTGGAGTATCCTTGCAGTTGCCGCTACTTCTGCTTTCAATGCCTCTGCTTGAATGTTGTCTGGTCCTGCTGCTTTGCTACTCTTGATTTGTCTGATGTCCATGCTGATTTCTTCAATTGTTGATGGGCCAACACTGATTGTGTGATCCGTGGGTGCTGCTTCGATATTGGGTGAGTTCAGTAGGGCTGGTCGATTTAAGAGTTGTTTGAAGTGTTCTACCCACCTGTTTTGTTGCTCTTCAATGTTGGTGATTACCTCGCCTTGCTTGCTTTTCACTGGTCGTTCTGGTTTGCAGCGATTTCCAGAGAGTTTCTTTGTCTCATACAGTTGTTTCATGTTTCCTTCTCTTGCAGCCTTTTCCGCCGTCGTTGCTAAATCTTCCACATATTTACGTTTGTCGGTTCTGATGCTCCTCTTCACTTGTTTGTTTATTTCTGTGTATTCAGCTTGTGCCTTGGCTTTTTCTGCTCTTGTTCGACTGGTATTGATTGCTGCCTTCTTGTTCCTCCTTTCTTGAATCTTATCAAGTGTATCATATCAGTGTTTTATTCGGTGACTTGATTTGCGTTGCTTTTTTACTATGTCATCCATGTCCATTATAATAGATTCATTGTACTTCAAGTCTTTTTAATAATTTTGTTTGTTCTAAATCTTTTATAATAAGCATCTAGCAAGTATTAGACCTGTTAATTATTGTTCGGTTTCAGCGAAATAGTATGAAGAATAATTGTCATTTAATATTAAGCATTCTTTTTTATTTAGCGCTTATTGTCCAAGATTTTTGATTTTATATATTTTGTTTATTCATTTTTTCTCGTTACCTAGACCCCAGCCAGTATGGAAATACCGATATTATCTCAACAACCATGTTCACAGTGTAAAGAACGTGAAGCAGAACGGTTGGCTGCAGCTAATGATACTAAAAGAGCTTTGCGAGAACTCGAAGAAAAACTCATAGCTCAATTTAAAGAAGAGAAAGCTACCGCTTTACATTCAGCTCTTGAACAAGCTCAAGCCAGTGCTCGTGAGGCTATTGAACATGAACGTAAATTAGCTCATGATACTTTGGAAGCTGCTGAGGCAAGATTTGCAGAAGTTATTGTTCAGACTAAACGTCGACAGTGGTGTCGTAATTGTCTTACGGAGGCTATCTATCATTGTTGTTGGAATACTTCGTACTGTAGTACACATTGCCAACATGAGCATTGGCAAAGAGAACATAAAAGTCAGTGTCGTAGAAAACGATGATTTTCAATCATATTCATACCTTATATATATATATATATATCAATCTTGTATATAATCTTGTTATTTTGTCTATTCCACATACATGTACATTACTTTTACCCTTGTTATAATTATAATCATTTTCGATTATCCTTTCTTATTATATACAAATTAATTAAATCGTAATAATTCAGCTTTAAAAATAAAGTCGTACATTGCATAGCCACTATTAATATACTCGTTTGTGTTTATGTGTGTATGATCTATTTTCAATTTACTTTCTTTCTTCTAACTTGCGTTTACTTAAAATTGTAGTCTGATTGTGACTGCTTTTTTATTCTTGTATTATAGTCGTTTTAATTTCTTTTCTCATCGTTATATTTATTTATTTAAATATAAGTTTTCATGTGTTGTACAGTACTATCTATTCATTTGTATACGATTGATGTGTAGAATACACCTATTTTCAATTATCTTCTATTAGACATCACTGATACATATCAAATACAATGAAGTTTTCAAGAGTTTCTTAATAATTTAATCATAATTTTTCATTATCTTAATTGTTAAACTTTTGTCCTTTATTCAATCTGAATTAAGTTATTTCTTTTTCAAAAATGACACTTTCTACACATTTCAGCGGGCGTCGTATTGTATTGTTCACTTCTGATAAATACTGGTGTTTCACTTCTATACAAATATACATATATATTGATCAACTGTGTTCATATCTTCTTTTTTTTGGTTAGAATGAATAATCAAGGTTGTTGATAACGTTAGATTTTAGTCAACTTTCATTAAAGTGTGAATAAGTTGTGTCATTTGATAATAGTCTGAGCTTTTTGGTCTTTCAGCATGCCTACAATTGAAGAATTAAAAAATAGTAAAGTGGATTCTTCAATAGAAAACAAAAATTCTAATTTGCGGAAATTATTATTAGAGGATACTCTTGATGTTGCTCCTATTGGTCTAACATTCTGTTTTGATCGTGAATCATTTCTAAATGTAAGCGTTTTTTCAAACTACTTTTGAATACATTTGTCTGCTGTGTGAAAATTGATTTTGAAATTTTTCAGTTCAATCCCGATAGTGATGCATATGCATATTATGAAACAATTGTTTGCTAGTTAAAGAATTAGAAATATTTGACCTTCAGATTCTACTTATTAGTATCTAGATTAATATGCATTCATTTCACTGATTAAGAAGTAATGAATCAGTTCTTAATAAAATGTCCAATTTATTTGAAATTAATATCAGAAGGGGTTTTGTGGATATCTCCCGAGGCGGGGTCGTGGACACGCGCTGCTGAGGTGTCCCACAGTAGGAAGAAACGGCCGTCCAATGCTTCCAGGTTTTCCATGATGGTCTAGCTTCAATTGACTCATGATCTGAACTATTAAAATTATTTGAAATTATCAAGTCAAACCTTGGTAATGATCAGTTCTGTTTCCTAACTTTTCCAGTTTATTTGTGTAAGCGTAGATACATAAATAACATGACTAAGTTCTAAAGATATTCACTTCTCAGTAATACAAAATGATGTCCAAAAATGCTATATCTAGCTCCTGACTCTTTAAGTTCTTATCAAATTGGAGTGGTTATTGAATATTCTTTTTTTCTTTGTTCTTTTATGTTAGGGTACAGGTGTTCGTCATTGTCCATTCTAACAATATTAATGGGAGACACAAAGTATATTTTACATAGAGCCCTGTTTAACTTCACCGTAGTGAAAGTTTCAGTATATACTTTTAAAATCCCATATAATTAGTTTCCTCTAAATCCTTGCCTAGTTTGGTCTTATTCCTTAATCCGATGGTATATATGGCTTTACTGCAAACTTTGTTTATTATCCCGCTATAAGCTTCTCGTCTGGTTTATACATGTCAAATATGACTTTCATTAGCTAACTAGATCCTTCCTATACTTAAAAGTTTCACAGGGTGTAATATTAAATTTCACACGTATGTATTTATGTTGTCGCACATTACGACGACATAGCAGTTTCAGAGGTCTGCTCAAACTTTTGGGTCACCTATTTTAAATAAACGTATATACTACTGACACACGCTACCACAAGAAACAACTTGTAAATTATTGCTATACTAATTACGGAAAAGCTCGAACAAAGTCATCTTTATTTTTTGTATGTTTTTTTCTCTTTGTCTATCATTTAATGAAACAAATATGAGAAGAAAACCTAGTTGCAGCAGCTGAACTAGTAGGAACATTTCACAGTCGAAGATAGATATTTATTATTTATTTATTTTAACACAGATATTGGTACAAGAGGGCACCAAATACATATGCGCCACACAAATCTCATTTGATATGTGTGAGGGCTGTGATACTGCCCAGGCTGCCCAAACCGACGCAGGTGGTTTTCTTAGGAGGCCACACTCGGTGCCTTCGACCTGAAGGTCTGATCCACAAGGCAGTGGAGCATTGTAAGGAGATGTAGTCCCATGGTAGCCGGTGACGTACGATTGGTTCATACACCATTTGTTCTTTCAGGATACTGGAGCCCATGTGCACCAGTGGTTTGGAATCAGATTCTTCCAACTCCCCTAGGTGGATTCTTAATGTCCACCAACCCGGTTAAAACGCCGGACATTCGCTTTTCGTCCTTTTAACTTCGTAAACAACACCGCCACGAGAAGGCCATGAGTAGGACTTCCCTGACAGGCTATATACGCGTGGCCATGTGAGAGCATTTCGAGAGGAAGAGCGGACTCTCCCCACTCTCGGCCGTATCAGGGCATTTGGGGGCGAAGATAGATAACGAATACTAAATTTTCTGGAATATTTATAAAGTACTTTTAGATCAATTACAATTCGAAAGCATGATGTACAGAAATTTGTCGCAATATTACACAAGTGATATTAAAAATTCCTTACTGGTATTTGATGCATCAATTATTCATGTCAACAGGAAGTAGTAATAGTGCTTACACAATAAAAGACGAAAAAATTAGACGACAAAGATTCAGAACAATGTGATGGTTATTTCAATTAGGTAAATGAATAAGTTCATTTACCTCACTATAATAGATTATGAAATCTACAATCATAAAGGGCTCTTGCTACTGCAAACTTACAATTGTCATTACAGAACGATGCAGACCACAGTGTGGTTTTCTCATACTCCGAGTAGCTTTCCACTTCAAAGTAGGTTTTTAACTACAGATCACATATCGTTTAGTTAATTATCTCGATCTGAACCATATTTGATAATTGCAATTAGTGGAATGAAGGACTTGAGTTTTTTTTCTTTATGACTCATTAACTGGATAAAGTTGTCAGGACATCCAAAATTTCTTACCTTGCTATCATTTTTAGTTATATATATATATATATATATATATATATATATATATATATATATATATATATATATATATATATATATCATACCTTGTGTAATATATTAACAGTAGTTTAGTGTTCTACCCGTCAAACTATAACTTTTCGTCTGATCATCCCTGTCTAAAATCGAAAGCTTTTGATTGGGTGGTATAGTTGTTAGTATCTGAGTTAGATCATATATAGTGTATGAATATTGATCGAATATACTTTATGTGCTCCGTGTACACAGTGGAAGATTAAGTAGTTTTTGCAACGAATGGAATGTCCACTACTCAAATACAGATTATTGGTGCATGTATGTGTATTAGCAAGTAAAATCAGTTATTCTTTTAGAACAAAAAGCATACAGTTCAATCGCTTCCATTAATAATCCACCATTATTTGTACCTCTGGATATAGTTGATGACTGGTTCGTTGCAATACATATCGCAAGTATTCTTCTACCACACGCTAATGACTGGTTTGTCCCTAAATGCCCTGGTACGGAAGGAATAAATGGCATATGAACCTATTGTTGGTCGCCAGCTATCATGGGGCTGCATCTCCTGGCGTTGCTCCACTGCCTTATAGATTAGACCTTTAGGCTCGGTGTTTGGCCCCCTAAACAAAACTATATCCAGAGGGTTTCTAATTTAGGGTCGTCTATTGGTTGAGAACCGAATTCCCTAACCACTAAGCGGTCCATGTATGGCCTTACCATTCATATGGATGTCTTGTAATCTTTGCGTAAATCTGCAAAAATGATGACTAAGGAAGTTTTATGGAATTGTTTTTTGGTATTTGAGGTATATGAAACAGTATGTCGATCTGTCATCAAGTATTTTTCAACACGTAGCTGTAAAGTAATTTATATTCACACTAGTTCTTTTTTGAAAATATTTTTACAGGATGACTTTAAACCGGACGATTTTATTTTGGAGCAACATTGTCGTGGGATATCATTAGAAAAACTTCGTGATGATCTTCTTCAATATTCTAATATTCTTAAGTCCAGTTTAATTGAATTGATCAATCAAGATTATGCTGATTTTGTAAGTCTATCAACAAATCTTGTTGGTTTAGATAAATCAATTGATACAATTGTCACACCATTGAAACAACTACAATCTTATGTATCGGTAAGCTTTTTTTATTAATTCTCTGCATGTACTGAATATTTGTTCGATATTGTACAACGCAGAGTTTTTGACTTATTCGATTTAGGTTTTAATTAGTGTACATTTATATCTTTGGCCATACCTCATTAGCACAACAAGACGAATAGCAAATTCATAGTAGTTACTTCAATGGTAGTAATGTATGTAAATAAAGATTACATGTGAGAATATGATACGGGGAAAAAATTAGTTCTTAGCAAGGAAGGTATAAAGTAATTTTAATCTCACAGTTTAAGGGAAGACAGAGAGTGTATAGCTTACTAGTATCCTCTACTCTCATTGGCCATGTTTTGCAGCCGTAAAGTAGGACAGAACGAACTGCTTCCCAGTATACTTGTCCCCTAATTAATAGACGGATATTTCGCCTTCGCCATAGTTGACGTAATTTTCACAGATTGAAATCGTGATTCAGTTGAAGCTAGACCACCATGGAAAACCTGGAAGCACTGGGCGGCCGTTTCGTCCTAGTATGGGACTCCTCAGCAGTGCGGTGGTGGTCTAGCTTCAACTGACTCATGATTTCAATCTGTGAAAATTTCGAAAATCTCCACAAACCCCTTTCTGATAGTTGACGTAAGTTGGGAAAAGCCAAACGAGCTTTTCGAATCCGTGCATAGATCTCGTCAGACACCAACCCATTAGGGCTGATCAGACTTTCAAGATAAGTGAAGTTGTCAACGCGTTTAACTACTTCACTCCCATCAATGATCTACGGAAATATACGTGCTCGTATTAGATCATGGTTAGAGTCTAAACATGTATTCCAGAACAAGCGGCAGTCTTCTCCTGAGTCTCTCCAACGATGACTGACGGCTGGTTTGATGCAGAGGGTCGCCATGTTAGACGATATCTCTCTTTACTCTTAAAATTAGTGCTCGTTAGAAATAAACGATTGTCTGAGCACAGTTGTAGCAGACGCTCACCATTATCTGTTTGCTGAGCCAGAATACCATACCAGCACATAGATGACGGTTAACAGGAATCCATTCTAATAGTGCTTGTTCTGCCGTCATAGTTAGTGCTATGCCTACACCCACTAGTCCACGATAACTAGTCATCGGGACGCCAGATAAATGGAGGGTGTATCTCGTCGGTTCTCCGTTTTGTCTAGATATGGTCAAATGAAGGACCAGACAAGGATCCTGTATGTGTATTTTGAAGACATAACATACATTATTAATACGGGATTTTAGAGTCTTAGCCAAGGAGGTATGAGGGAGGTTATTACTTCCCAGTTCCTCTAGTCATTCTAGATGTACCTAAAAAGGAAATTGGGTTAGAGGTTGGTCTTAGTGACCTGAGATCGTGACCGCACTGCCCAAGGGACAACTGCTTGAGGCCCGTCACACACTACATTCTTGTGGTAGCTATGTACTTGTTAGGACCTTACCGCCGGAGACGGAAATCCGTGAGATAAGGCGAGGTGTACATTTTCAGGGTTGACCTTTTCAAACCCTACCCTTCCTTTGCAGCTGCTCTATTATGCTGGTTGTCTGAGGGAATCACCTTACTGCCATCACACCTGTACAGTCAGTAGTACAACTTCGCCCCCTGACCTTGAGTTTTGTGCCTTTGGTCTTACCTCTCTTCAACCGACCTGCCTGGCGTGGTGGAACCTTGAGGGTTGTTCCATCCAGTGTAGTCTAATTGGTTCACCACGATAAAGAAGTCCGACCATCACATCAAGATAGCAGCAAAGGTCGGGTCAGACAATAGCGGAACCTAACACATCTCTCCCTTTTAATTCTGCCATCTTGTCTATTTCTTTTGTACTACATTTTTCATATTCAGCTTCCTGTTTTGTTGTTCTCTGTATGTTTGCTTATGTGAAGTGTGATAACCTCGATCGATGTTAAATGTACCTAACTGAATGCTTCTAATTTGTCTGAGTGGTACTCATTGATGCATATCTTTCAGTAATCCCTATAACTTATATTCTTTACATTAATTATTTCTAGTGTGAAAGCGGACGTAGTGTGTAATGTAGACACTAGTTACTTTATAGAGTTGATAGGTGGACTGTCGCAATGTAATCTCAATTTCAAAGATTCGTTTCAAAAATAGTTATTTCTTCGCTTAGGATATTACATAAAATGGTATCATTTGAAAAATAATTCAAGGAACCGTCAAACATTGTTACTCGTCAATGTTTTTTCAGTGAGATTCAAACTCTTTACCCCACCTTTTTCTTCACTAAAATGAATAATTGTCTTTTGTAAATTGGCAACCAATATTATCTAGGTAACCTAAAATATAATTGTGAGTTTAAAATCATAATCTGTTATTGTATGGAGATACATATTACACCTTGTCAGTAATTGTCTGAAATCGGGAAGTGACGATATTCCGGTTGTCAGAAGTGAAAAATAACTGACTGGATATTTGGTGTAATAATAAAATTGATTTAATTTCCTAATATACATTCATATACTCAATTTATTAACAAACTGATTTAATCTTCTAAGATTTGGTTCTATGAATAGAAATATCATTAGTCCAGTCATCTGTAGTCCATTCTAGTAACTTTAACCAATCAAATTCTACTTCATAATCGATTTTAAATAAAATTCTAAGACAATGTTTTTATCCACTATGTTGTCGTTTAAAATTATAACTACCTACGGAAGAAGATCATTCAAAGTTATTAGTATTTACTAGTATAGGGGTTGTGGAGATTATTAAGTTCTTGGTTTAAATCATGAACCGATTGATGTTAGACCACCTTTGGAAACCTGGAAGCACTGGACAGCCGTTTCGTCCTATTGTGGAACTCCTCAGCAGTGCGCACCCACGATCCCGCTCGCGGGATCCGAACCCAGGGCCTTCGGTCTCGCGCGCGAACACTTAACCTACTGGACCACTGAGTCGGCATCCGATTGAGATAGTATTTGTTTTACTACTGATTAATGTCTTTTGGTAAAATTAATTTAAAAATCTACGATTTTTTTCTCTGAAAGCATTAATCAATGTTCCATTAATTAGTTAATTCATAGAAATAAACAACTATTTTCCATTGTATAAATACATTTCACATATATGTATGTATAGGCACACAAGCACACCGTTATTCATAGGCACGATTAGTTTAATAAAACACCGAACTTCCTTATTGTCCACAGTTTATTTTAATCATTATTTGTAGTGTTCAATATGAGTTTTTTTTCTCATTTTCATTACAAACCATTTAGTTTTTTTTTAAAGAAATAATATGACATTTTGTAGTGTACACTTACACATCTCATGGGATAGATAAATAGGCACATATATTCTTACACATAAACATGAACTTACTATGCAACATCCATAATGGATACTTTCATCACAGGATTTTCATTACGCTATTATGAAATGTCTATTTTTATATTTTCAAGATTGATAATCAGAATAGTAGAAAAAGAAGGCAAGAAATAATCGTATGCCTATTTTTCCCTACTCATAACTTTTGTAATTGAAGAAGTGTTGCATGCACAACATACTTTGATTTTCAAATTGTAATATAAAAAAAAACATTTAGAAACTTTGATACCAAACTTACTGTGAGTAACAGTACACTAGTTGCGTGCATGGAAATATGTAACAATGGTGTTAGTAAGTTAAAATAATGCTTGGAACACAGGACTCCTTAAAATAAGTTTCATTTTCTTGAAAAAAAGGGCAACTCTTTTGATCTTAATACATTTTCTGATTCGATATGTATACAAGTTGATTAATGAAACAATAACTTATCAAATTGCATAATTCCCGTTTGTTGATGTGTACTTGAAAGTAAATGGGCAAGAGAACGTGGGTCGAGGTTACTGAATAGATTACAGATGTACGCCTTGCTGACGAGTACTAGGTTATTCTGCCAACTAACTTCAACTACCTAATATCCGGAAATAAAGTACATATGATGTCGAGTCATTTAGATTAATGGTTACATTATAATTCGATCAGTGGAATTACCGTAATCAAGTGATTGTACATTTTTTGAGCTTCCTGTCCTTAGTGGTTGATCTATTTTTTTGTCTGAAATAGTGATTCTAAATGTCAGATACGGAAATCTTTCTAATTGACCTGCAAGTGTGAGTTTTTCTTTCAACAAACAATCATCTTTGTTAGTTGGTTCGAGCAGTAATCAACACAGAAAGTTTGGCCATGTACGACTTTGTGTACTCTGCTTTGAATAATATTGCGTTAGTACTATTAATGCTGCTTGGTTGCCCAAACCGATGTACAAATGGCAGGGTTTGGACCTAGAGCCTGTGGGTTGTAAGCTTAGTACTTTAACCACTAAACCACCGCATCACACTGTTATCCTGAGTTCTCCTTTAGCTTCATTCAATAGACTTTAATATACACGATTGTATAGTTGCTTAGAGTTGTTTACCTTTAGTTATATTATGGTGTATAGTGATCTATTTTCCTTTAAAATTCTATCCATCACGTAATCATAACTTCTTAGAAAGAAAAAAATTCAATATATATTGAGTATTTATTTAATATTTCATTCTATATCTTTTTTATATAGTCAGTCCTTGATGAACTTGAATCTACTGATCAAGAACTATCAGCTAAGTTGAAATCTCTTCAGCATATAAAAAATGAAAAGGTATACTTAAGTTTCATTTATTTCTACTTTATGTGCAAAATCGATTTGATCAACTCGTCAATCACTAGAATGTTTAAATATATTTTTATGATGACTATATACTGTTAGAGTTGTTTCCTATAATTACTATTGTTTATAATCACATCCAACTTTGCGTATCAAATTTTAAGTAGATCACGATTTCTACGTAACCAGATACATCCATAATTTAAAGTTGCCCCTAAATGCCTCGGTATAGCTGATGGTAAAGTGTCCGTTTTTTTGTATCAAAGTGTTCTCACATGGCCGCGCAATTACAATCTTTGCTAGGAAAGTTCAGTTCACTCCCTTCTAATAGCAGGAGTATTTTTTTGTGAGTGACATTGAAAAGTGAATGTCCGGCACTTAAAACCAGATTATTGAATATGAAGGATCTATTCACACGAGTTAGAAAGCCCTGAATTTGAATTAATCGTGTATATGGGCTCCAGAATTTTGGGAGAACGAATAGCGTTTAAAGCTAATTTGATCACCTAGTACAATGAGAGTCTAACTTATGGGGTTGCTCCAATATATATTAAAAAATACATAAACAAAGTGTTGTTCAATAGTAATCAGTTCTATCAACTGATTGGAATGTACATCAAAAAATATTTATGTATTCAGCTGAGCGTAGTAGCAGTAGTGATAGAGAGTATCAGTTAGTAAATATGTAAGTAAAATGTTTCAAGATTAGAAATGTGTTGTGTAGCAGAAGGAATCTGTTAGCAGTCTCACCATTCTTTTTATTTTACACTAAATTAATTTTCTAAACACAGTTTTATGTTTTTATTATTACCATTATTAAATAATGTCTCTTTTATTATATCTTTCCTATCACTTCCTCTTTTTTTTATATCTAAATAGTTTTCTTTGTTCTATTTATCAATAAGTAATAATACGTAACCAACAATTCTTATGTCAACCTACTTGTTACTACGGCAACTCGATGTAACAATATCTTTTAATCAATGTTATACGATTTTGGTCAGTAGTAATTGTTGACAGTTAGTTGTATATCATTTTCACCTTGTTGTTTTGTTTCCTTCATCTGCATATTTACGTTAATTGAGATGTGTTTATCACGTGTATTTAAAGTAGTGTTTACTTACGCTTATTACCCCTCATCAAGGAGCATAGGCCGCCCACCATCTATTCTATCGTATTTTATTAAGGTATACAGCTTTTGTTTGTGTTTAACACACTTTCTAATCATTATTCGTCAAATAGTTTGACAACTAATGTACAAACTGCACATTTTGTTGTAATGTAACTGGTGTGAGCTCGAACATTAGTCTATGTGCTTGTAGTTTATTATTTCGAGCTTAGTGTACGGAGTAAATAGATAATTGCTTCATTAGTAGCCATCATTATGTTTTTAATGGATGAAATATTTACCAGATACTCAAACCTTAAGTAGACGGACTTTCATGGTGAACCATCTCACAAACCTTCAACTTAAATGTCTAATCCATAGAGCAGTAAAGTAATGTCAGATGATGCTATCCAATAAAAAACTAAAGGATCCTAGATCCCACAATCACCACTGGTTTGAAATCAAGGATTTCCAGTTTTCTTAGGTGGGACGTCCACTTTCATCCACTTAGTTTTGTAAGGAAACAGCACCATCGTGGTAAGGTAGTGAGTATAACTTCCCTGGAAGAGGCCATAATCGCATAACCGTATAACTGGACTTTGAGAGGGAAAACGGACTCCTACTTTCAGCTGTACTGTTACTTCCTTGATCTGTCTATCCAATAATATACTGGAGAGAAATTGTCTCGATCTAGCTTAAGATCTTGACATAATAGGCTAACCTGTTCAACCTTGTGGCTAGAAATGTGTGAGCCCAAATTGAGACTAACGGGCTTAGGCAGAGAGACGATAACGATTCTATCGTCTGATTACTTGACAAATGAAAGAGAAGATGTGTTGACTGAAACACTAATCTATTTACTACTGATTCAGATTAGTGTAAAAGAAAATATATGAATAATTAGATGACTGACACGATCACAACGTACAAACAATCAGGAAAATACAATTATGTCTAAATTAGGCATTAGGGCAGAAAAATAGAGGATATGGCAGTGAATCATATATCAAACAAAAGCTTATGGTTTATAGAATAACCTAGGGACAATACTAAATATTAGTATTTTATGAACTTTGAATTAAGTGAATTAATGTCCCAAAAAATAGCCTCCGTTGATCATCATGACTCCTTTATTCCTCTGTTTACATCATGCACCAAGGCGTATAGTAATTGTATCTAGAACAACAATATTGCTAATTGTAAAGACAAAGAAGATTGTCCCAGGGAATTCATCATCATCAATTCTGATTACATTATATATGTACCTTAATTCTTTTTTACAAATACTCTTATTTATAGGATTATGCAGATAGTTTATTCACATTGGATGCATGTGTGTCGCGTTTAGAACGTTGGCTAACACAATCAAATCAACCATCAGTGAATAAAGAACAAACTAATGATCAATTAGATCATAAATCTAATAACATCATGTTAGGTGACAGTGATAATAATGAAAATGAGACGTCAAAAGGTATTAATAATGATGGCGATGAAAACGAATTAGATATATGGCCGCCTGAATTCTATGCTGATTGTTCGTAAGTTTTTGTATTTCATTTATCATTGTGTTGTTCTACTAGTTATACTATCTTGGTGTCAATTACCTTAAGTATATGGTTGTGTAGTGATGGAAAACATGTAGCTCAGAATGATTTTGATGTGTTGTATTCTCCATACTGAATGATTTATTTGTGAAGCTTTCATTGTCTTTCTGGAAAAAATCATCAGTAGGTACTTCAGAGAGTAGTGACCTTTTCATGTTTCTTCACAATTTACTGAAAGCTTGTTTTGTTGTTCATAACTGTCTGGTCGTTCTTTGTATGTGAACTTCAAATTTTCTAAGTGTACACACTCGCTAATATTCGCGATTATCATAGTTACGTAAATCACAGTGTTAAGCTATAATTTTCGAAAGGTGAAAGCATTCAAGGACACATTCATACTGTTGAGTCGGCTTCCGAAAACTACAACGGAGCATCCAGAGGCCCTAAATGAGCCAAAGAGTTTCCATCTAATCAGAACATGATTGAGCTTTCTAAAATATCAACGTGACATGCTACTATTGGACAGTAGCATAATGTGTCTCTTTAAGGATTGGCCGAATTATAATGTTGGTTTAACAAATGCTAATATCTATAAATACCCGTGGTTTTCTGCATATTTCGATTCTTACCAGACAAACACTCCTCCAGCTTTTCTTCTGTCTTCTGATTTGCGACGGTGAAGTTCCAACGTTCAAGAGTCGTAGTCGTAAACCGTATTCTGCGTTAATCAATTGACGAACTTAGCACATACCTATTGTACTCTTGATCAAATCTGATCAATTGTTTGCTTTGAACATATCACAGATCTTGAAAATAAGACGCCATGTGGATGTTATTGTACTTTACACATACAGATTATCAAATTTCTCTCCGTTCATTATAAGGTAGATGAGAGATTGGTTGCATCTTGTAATCCTGAACTAGTGTATACAAGTTTAATATCCTTTACTTCTGTTGCATGTTGCCTATTGCTGTTATTTGGTAAAAGTATACTTCAGGAACGAGGCAACTATGGTTGGTAAATTGATCTGCAGGTTTTTGAGCGTAGTTTATCATTTATAACGAGCAGTGAAGATTACTTCTGTATGCTGCTGAAGAGTTTTTAACATGATAGCAAAAGACTAATTTTCATAACCATAGAGTAACGTTGTTAGTGTCAAACATGTCAGACACTGAATTCTGTCTCTTTAGATTATATATAACAGGCAAATAGACTCCATCTCTAAATCCTAAACCTTATCCTGGCTGGACTACACTTTGTGGATAAACTAATCAGATACCCCCTTTTCGATTTTTAAGCGAAGTTCATCGATCCATATGGTTTCAGAGAATTTTCACTTTATAACTGATGTCAGTTTGTAATTAAAACCCAAACTCTAATCTTTACTTTGAATACCTATCCGTAACTAGGAGCAACAGAGGGTCTCTTAAAAATCTGTCTGGATCCTCAAAAATATTTGACCAAATGAACAGTCACTGTCCATAGGAACGAGTTTATATGTCGTTTTTTTTTCAATTTGCAAACGGTAACCTGTAGAAGACAGTTTAGCGAAGAAAATCTTCTTTTCAACGATTTCACTTGCTGAAACTGTGCAATTGTGTTTAGAATTAGTTTATTTACTAAAAATAATAGTCTAAAAATGATAGTGTTAAACGGAACTGTTGTTGGGCTTTTAGATTAAACTTCGTATTGCCTTTTCAGTTGTCCCGCAATTCTTAGCTGTGTGTAGGACAAGCTCCCACTTTGAATTAAATCCTTGTTCATCTATCAGTTTACTTGCTCATACGGAGCGTGTTACATTGGCCACATAGTGTGCTTTTTCGAAATATATCTCTGAATACTACCCTATCTGGATATCTAAAGGATTATGTAAGTCAGTCAAAAGCTCAGTCCTAGAGCAAGTAATTAATTCTAGTCACTCAGCTTCACTCGACTCCTTCAAAATTATTCATACAGTCAAAAGGGTCGCTTTCAATGGAATTCAAATTAAAGACTTACGTGCGGCAGAGGCTGTACTTGCTTAACAAGGTGGCCTGCTTGAACATCTGGGCTACCTGTTCCTGCCATCTAGACATTTCAACAAGTTATCTATTTTTGTTTGTTTTAATATATCATTATGTCTATTAATCGCATAAGCTATCCTGGTGCATTTCGGAAAAGTGTACAACCTTTCGTTCCCGATCGAAGCTGCTACCTTGACGCGGTGGTCGGGCTTGCCTATCGTGATGACCCAACCGAGCTATATTGGCTGGAACATATGTTCCTGCAGGTTCTACCATGCCAGGCAGGTCGATTGGTGAACGGTAAGACTAAAAGCAGCAACTCAAGGTCTGAGGGCGAAGTCGTACTGCTGACTGTAGAGGGGTGTGACAGCAGTAAGGTGTTTCCCTCGGACATCCAGCATGACAGCGATGCTGCCTTCCCACAAGGAGGGGTGGGGTTAGAAAAGATCGACCCTAAAAATGCCACACCTCACCTTACCTCACGGATTTCCGTCTCCGGCGGTAAGGCCCTTTGAAGAACGGAGCTAACACGTCAAAAATCTTCCACAAAAAGGCCGTGCGCAACCGGCCTCAAGCAGTTGTCCCTTGGGCTCTGCGGTCACGCTCCCAGGTCGTCAAGACCAACACTAATCCAATTTCCTTTTCAGGTTCCTCAAGAAATACCCTTCCACGGTGTGGGCAGCCGGGAAGTGATATCAGCCCTCATACCCGTAACAACACAAGAGACCAAGGTGGTCACATTCAAATCTTTCCTACACCTTCTAATACCTCTCTTATCTCCCCGACTAACCCTCCCCACGTCTCTTTATCACCTCGCACCGCTAGGGCAAACGATTCGAGTACGTGGAACGCTATTCCTGGTCTCCTGAAACCACGCTCTAAACTACACGTAGGAGCTTTTAACGTACGAACACTTTGCCGAATAGGACAGCAGGCTTCATTAGCTAGGACTTTAGAATCTCGCGCCATCGATGTGTGCTGCGTCTCCGAAACGCGCATACAGGATCCAAGTAGCGTCATTCATTTGACCTCACCATGCCAAAATAAAGAACCGACTCGATTTACGCTTCGTGTATCTGGGAGCCCTGATTCTGCTTCCCGCGGCCTTGCCGGCGTAGGTATAGCATTGAGTCCTAAGGCAGAACTAGCTCTCTTAGAGTGGATCCCAGTAGACAGTCGTTTGTGCGCTGTCCGACTGAACGGAACAGTAAGAATCCGGAAAGATAGGGACACTCGTCGTTGCCTCTTCGTCGTCTCTGCCTATTCTCCCACTGACTGCAGCTCAGATGATGTAAAAGATGAGTTTTACAGAAAGCTTTCGGACCTTCTCCGAAAAGCTAAGCGCTCGGATGTAGTAATTGTGGCCGGTGACTTTAATGCTCAAGTAGGTAAACTAAGCGATAGGGAGAGACACCTGGGTGGATCTTACGGTGTCGTGGCTCAAAGAACAGATAATGGCGACCGTCTGTTGCAGCTATGCTCAGATAACCGCCTGTTCCTTGCAAATACTAACTTTAAACATAAGGAAAAACATCTTTTAACATGGAGACCCCCTAATTCGTCCCAATGTTGGACCCAAATAGATCACATCGCTATCAGCCACCGATGGAGGGGCTCGATAGAAGACTGTCGCTCATTCTGGAGCACATGCCTAGATTCAGATCATGCTCTGGTGCGAGCGCGTATTTGCTTGCGTCTAACTGGACGTAGGAAAGACACTGCAAGAAAACCTCTTAGGGGCCTACTTAATGATAGTCAAGCTAAGAGTATATTTCAGGAACATCTAGGAAAACAGTTAGGCAGCCATGTATGTGATGCCCACCCCGATGCAGCATGGAATGATATCCGAAAAGCTGTGGAAACAGCAGTGATATCTGCTAGTAAGGTAAACCAGAAGGTTAGGGAGCAACACTGGATCTCAGCAGCATCTATCTCACTGATAGATGCTCGGAAACTCATTCCACCTGGCTCTGAACATAATGAAGAGCGGAGTCAGCTTAAGCGCAAGCTGACCAGAAGCCTACGCAACGATCGCGAACAGTGGTGGGTAGCGAAAGCAAGACAGATGGAAAAGGCAGCGGCAATAGGTAATAGCAGACAATTGTTCAGACTCGTTAAGGAAACCGGAATTAGGAACCCGACCGTTAGCGAAACAATCTCAGAGAAAGATGGACATATTATTCATTCTCAATCCAGGAGATTGGATCGATGGGCAGAACACTTTAGGGATCAGTTCAACTGGCCTTCAGCCACACTTCGGTTTCCCACGATCTCTAGTCAACCTGAATGGCAAGTTAATGTAGGTCCTCCGACTTTTTACGAAGTTGAAAAAGCCATAGGAAATCTGAAACGAGGGAAAGCAGCAGGCCCTGACAGGTTTACTCCTGAGATTTTTAAGGATGGTGGTCCAGTATTAGCAATGAGATTAACCGAGGTCTTAAGTAGAATTTGGGAACTGGACGTAATCCCATCTGACTGGTCTCAATCACTGATTGTGCCAGTCTATAAGAAAGGACAAAAGTCCTCTTGTGACAATCACAGAGGAATCAGTTTGACTAATATAGTGTCTAAAATATTAGCTTCAATAATACTTCGACGCCTAATCAAAGCTCGTGAAGAGCAGACTAGAGAAAATCAGGCTGGTTTTCGACCTGGACGTGGTTGTATAGATCAGATATTCACACTACGTCAGGTTCTAGAACACAGACACACATTCAGACGCCCCACAATGGTAGTATTTCTCGACCTTAAGGCGGCATTCGACTCTGTTGATCGTGAGGTTCTATGGCAGTGTTTGTCACTGAAAGGAGTACCAAAGAAGTACATTAACCTTATAAAGGCTCTCTACTCGAACACAACTGGTAGAGTGAGAGCTTATGGCGAACTGTCATCAGAATTGATTACCTCAAGTGGTGTTCGTCAGGGCTGTCCACTCTCCCCATTCTTGTTCAACTTTGTCGTGGACATACTTAGAAAACTTCTTCGGGTATCGGGTTTTATTTTGAAATCAGTCCAAAGCGGCTCTGATTTAAGGGAAGATTTTGTTCGTTGTCAAAGTTGCAAACAGCTCAATAAGAGACAATGTGGTTGCTGGCAATATACAACGAAAAGAATGTACATTATTCAGATGTTCATTTACTGGACTGCTAACATCTAACTGGCGATCACTCAGTATTTATCGCCAGGACGGACCAGGAATAAAGAAACGGAAACTTGTTGAAATACTTTGCTCTGAGAATTCTATATTGTACAAAAAATATAATATTGAGTAAAGCTAATAATAATAATAATTTACTTACTTACTTACGACTGTTACTCTCAATGGAGCATAGGCCGCTGACCAGCATTCTCCAACCTACTCTGTCCTGGGCCTTCTTTTCTAGTTCCATCCAATTCTTGTTCATTTTCCTCATGTCTATCTCCATTTCTCGGAGTAATGTGTCCTTTGGTCTTCTTTTTCTCGTTTGGTCTTGAGGATTCCATGTGAGGGCCTGTCTTGTGACGCAGTTGGGTGCTTTCCTCAATGTTTGTCATATCTACTTCCAGTGCTTCTTCCCGATTTCTTCCTCCACTGGGATCTGGTTTGTTCTTTCACACATTAGGTTGTTGCTGATAGTGTCTGGCCAACGGATCAGAAGTATTTTGGGTAGACAACTGTTAAATATTTGTATCTTCTGGATGATGTCTTTCGTAATTCTCCAAGTTTTCACCCCATACAGTAAAACTGTCTTGACATTTGTATTGAGAATCCTGACCTTGGTGTTGGTTGACAGTTGTTTTGAGTTCCAGATGTACTTCAGTTGTAAATATGCTGCTCTTGCTTTGCTGTTCCGCGCCTTCACATCTGCATCAGATCCACCCTGTTCATCAATGATGCTGCCCAAATATGTAAAGGTTTTTACATCTTCCAGATCTTCTCCGTCAATTGTGATTAGATTGGTGCATGCTGTGTTGTATCGGAGAATCTTGCTTTTCCCTTTGTGTATATTGAGACCTACTGCTGCTGAGGCTGTTGCTACACTGGTCGTTGATAGGAGGGCCAGATCATCTGCGAAGTCTAGATCGTCCAACTGCATTCTAGATGTCCATTGTATCCCATGCTTCCCTTCAGATGTTGACGTCTTCATGATGCAATCGATTACCAAGAGAAAGAGAAAGGTTGAGAGTAAGCAACCTTGTCTGACACCAGTCTTTACTTCGAACGACTTTGTCAGCTGTCCTCCAGGCAGAGGCTATAACTGTCCATTAATGAAACCCTAACTTTTACGTACGGAATCAGTGTGTTCAACCCCTCCTTCTATCATGACCTTAACCTTCATCTCTATGTTCCATAATCTATCGTTTTTTTCTAAATTTCTAACAACATTTTTCATTACAAAAATATGGTAATCGGAACTATGAGTTGATAACGTATATTTAAGATTAATTACATCCTAAATTATACTTTTACACTTTTAATTAACTCTTCTACGTAAAATTGTGACTCTGTGCATAAGTCTACACATGGTAAATGAGTAGATAAATTGACATAAATATATCTCTATTCTGATTTTATATATTGATCAGTTTGATAATGAAATCTAAATTAGAAATAACAATTCGAACACCGGGATTGCTGTTCAGATTCTATCTTTAACTCAATCCTGCGACTGTTCATTTCCGGGTAAATTAACGATTGTTAGTTTGTGTTGTAGAACTTTCACATAACATGTTCACAAACTTTTAGAAAATAGTTTACAAATCTTCAGTTGAATTACTGAGTTAGTTGCATTTGTCATCAAGGGCACGTCTGCAACATATCAGAAATACATACTTTGTCAACGATTCAAACCAACTTATTTCATCAAATTAGTTCTTCTAAAACTATGAAGTAAATCTAAGGTATTCACATGATATCATCGTTTGTTGTTTTAACCATAGTAAAAATAAGCTATATATAATCACGTCTTTTAATTTTTGACCTAGTCGCCATTTTTTTGGAAAAGTAGACTTCGATTATCATTGTAGTCGATTAGAACACCATCTCATATGTACACTATCTATTACCCTGTTAAATTTATTTAATTTATTTGATCTCTCTACTATTCTCGACATGCTTTAAAATACTAAAAATTCTCATATTGTGGATTAGAACAACACATATATAACGGAATAATATTGTTTTCAATTAGATCTTCATCAGGCTTTACTCTAATTTACAGTAATATTTTTATACATATCTGAAAATATTAAACCAATCAAGGAAGTTTGTGGAGTCAGTGATAATAATGAAGTAGATTATAAAAATAAACAATCACTAAAAGGTACAAATTGATAGTTTGATGACAGAGGTACTAGTTCTGATAAAAATAATAAAGGCTTGGATCAATGTTTCATAATAGGAAGTAGGTTAACGACTTGACAAAATTCGACCGAAACAACATTCGTTAAAATTTATTAAAGATGCCTTATAAGAAGTGTCCAGATAATTGGACAACAAAGCGTATATCTGAAAAAAGGAGGCGAAGAAAAATTGATAAAGAGTATGTAAGATAATAATAAATGAAATCGTTTGTCAAGGTTAATTCGGCCATGCAAGAGATAAGGGTGTTACAATTTTCTTATGTTCACAAAGACTTTAATTGTTAGGGCGAATCCCTATAGATTCTGCTATATGTAAGAGAAGAGATCGAACCGCATAAAGAAATATAGTAGGTATACTGTAAATTACTTCGAATGATTTATTCCTATCTATTACACGACTGCTATCGATCAAATGTGACACAACGGAGTTGTTTTTCATGCCATTTCCTAATCACGAAGGGATGCGTGCACTAACTCGTTGACTCAGTTGTCTGGTTGTACACTCAATTTAGCTTTCTCCACAGGAGCAGCTATATTTGTAGATACACATGAATGTGGCGAAACGCTTCACTGTCCAATTATCTGAACACTTCATATTACGTAGTTTTTATAGTTTTTAATAAATATTATTTCAGTGTCTATTTTTCCAAACCGTTGATAACATATTTTGTCAAAATGTAACTTAGCATTGTGAACATGTGGATTGAGCAAAAGATAATTACTACTCTGCAACACTGATAAAACAATTCTCTTTTTATTCATCTTTTTCCTTTGAAGTCTTCATGAAGATATTGGACAACGTATGGATCGAATTGCTAATGAATACATTAAACTTCAATTTTTCAATAAAAAGTGTCGTGGTCATCCAATTTTAAATTCATTAAAACCAGTACGTGTTTAAAAGTAATTTTACTTTTTATGGAAGTTCGTTATCGTTTCATCCTGTTATCTGACTTGTATAATAACTCTGTATTTTAATGACTAAAGTATTTCGACGTTTACTCAATATGTCTGAATCGACGCATCTCGAACAAAAATGCAACACCAAAGTGATTTTTTTGTTATTCGCTGTACTAATTCTTTTTCATTTAGATCATCAATTGACTTAGGTTAGACATCTGATGAAAACCTAAAAGCACTGGGGAGCTATTTCGTCTTGTTAGAGGACTCCTCAGAAGACCTTATCAACAACCTCATTGCGGATTGAACCTTGAACCTTCAGATGTCACAGAGAGAGATTAACGTTTAGATCCATGGGTCGGAATCCGATGGTCCTCATCTCTAACTTCAATTGATTCGTCACATTGCTTAACCATCTTCATTATTTTTAGTGGATACCTGCATGACACCCAACACTGTAGAACTCCCCTGGTCACAGCTCACTAGAACGTCGAAAATTTCCTTTCGAAATTAGCTGCCAGTGACCACGTGATAATTATCAGTACGGGGATTTGTGTAGATTATTTACGGTCACTATTATTTTGACTTTTTTTGTTATCCATCTTATTCACTTCACTTTACTCAGTTGATTTAGTTTAGTAACATGGCAATATAACGCACATTTATCCCAAGTTCTTTTTTGTCGTTGTTGTGTTTTGAGATACCTAAGTTTGCAGTAGAATTGGTATTACGGTTGCATTTATATTTAATGTGTGAATAAGCCACCTCTATTAAAAATGTCTTTCAGTATCACCCTTCCTTCAATTCCAACTGATCAAATTCTAGTGTTTTATCAATTCTTTAGAAATGGTAAACTCTTAATAATTTAGCTTTCATGCTTAATAGACGAAAATAGAAAAAAACCCTTCCATTATAGGTATACAAGATAAGATGAAGTATTCACAAAAGATATAGATTGTACAATCGAATCGAAACAGTAAGAAAAGTATGCTCTGAAATTTTTCGACATTAAAATTAAGTCAACATTGACAAATATATTTGAATACGCACCGATGTGTAGTACCACACTAAAATAAAACAGCCATCCAGTACTTCCAGGTTTCCAATTATGGTCTAACTAAGATCGGTCCTTGATTTAACTGTGAAAATTGTACAATTTCCACAAAATTCCTTTCAGTAAAAATGTATTCGTATTTATCTCATTTAATGAATGTCCAAGGTCAATTGTTTAATTCAAATCATTATTGTCTTCTCATAACTTGGAGAAATGTATACAATGATCAGTGGATAAATGCTAACCTTTATCATTCGTTTGAATGAGATAGGCTATGATATTAAATATATTATAAGTAATTGGAATTAGCGATTCCTTTGAATATGACTATTCTAAACAGTTCTATTCCTCAATCCTATAATATTTAATTAAAATATGAATTTGTAGGTTGCATTTGTCATAGATAAATCTCAGATTGAAGATCAGAGAGTACTGGACAGTTTTATCGTCCTAACATTGTACTCCTCAGTAGTACAAACCCACCATTTTTATTCACGGATCCAACCTCAGGGTCCTCAGATCTTACTGCAAATACTTAAACATTATGACCAATGGGTTGATATCTAATTGTACAACTCTAATTTCATTGAATTTGCAATAAAGAACATGATGATCATTCAATTTTATTTGTATCAAGTGTTTCGCTCTTGACATACTCGAGCTTCTACAGTTACGACTTCATATAAGATTTCCAGGAACTCATCTAGACGAAGGAAATCATAATAAACTGACTTTCATAGTTTAGTTGAAGAGATTTTGAAAATATCTATATTCATTGTTTACCTGTTTATTTGTCGTGTTTTTCTTATTCAATATAATTTCTTGATTCTCAATAGATTGAATATACATCAATTTCTTTTCTTTTTTTAAACAAACAAACATTTGATTTTAGCGTATTAATTGGATTACAATAAATCTTCAAGAACAATTAGAGATACGTTTAAAGGAGAGTTTTAATGCATGTTGTTTAACAGTAATTAATACAAATGTTGATTGTACAATACCGAAACATTCTATTGAACAATTAAGACGAGTTATTTCTACATATTTGGCCATTGATAAATTATCTGATTTATTGATACTATATCGTAAATTTGTACTTCATGATCAACTTAGCCAGGTTTGTCATGATTGGCCTACTTTGTATTTATACTACTGTTCTCGTTGTTGTCGTTTTTTATCGGTGAATTATTTTATTAATCATTAATTTTATATTCTGTTGACAAGTTTATTAAAATTTCCGAGATGGGAGAAAGAATTTTTAGAAAACTTTGTTGCTAACCGAGTTTGTATGCTACTTATTGATGCTTATCATTATACATTGTCTAAAAAGCTTGCGAGAATTGATTTGCTGTCTCGTAGGACTTCTTTTTTAGTTAAGCCTTAAAAATAATGGTTAAAGGTTGACTTTCTTCTTTAAAAAAAAAACAAAAATGGGTTCCTAAGGAGATTCATAATCGACCACATCGTGAAATATGGATCATTCGATTTTTTTTTTAAACGGACGACTCAGTGTTCAAAATAACCTGAAATTAAAATAGAAATTTGTCAAAGACAGTGAACCTTAACAATGCTGAAACTTTTGCCATACATTTGGAGGAGCTAGAACTGCGTGTAGAAAAAAAAATTTATTCAACCTTTTCTTCTATTTATGATCTTATTCTTTAACTTTTCAAAACCATTACTCTCACTCTTTCTCGGTTGACCTCTTACTTTTAACCGACTTATTTCTGTCTCCATATTCTTTCTGATTATATTTCACTTCAGTTTCAACACTTTATCATGTCATATTATACAACTTCTTTTTTTCACAATACCTTATTGTTATGTAAATTCTATGACATTATTCTCGAGTGAATATTCAAGTTTTTCTATTACAGTTTTTTGATAAGAATAATATTTATTCTAAAGTATGATTCTGTCTACTTTACTTCGTTGTCACGCGATGTTCAATAGTAAATTATTGTAATTTTATTACTGTGAATATGAATTCGTTAAATAAAGGAGGTTAACTCTTTACTGAACCACTTTTTGTTTCCTTGTTCTTATATCTCCACTTATTTATAGAAATCCAATTAAGTTTGTTTTCTTTGTACTAAGACTAATTGATTGATTGATGCAATAGCTGATCAATGATTAAATTACAGTCGATAGCTTGTTTACATAATTACTTAATAATTATAAAGAAAAAATACAGTTATTAGTTTTGTGTATATGTTTATTCGGTAGCATAGAATTCGGTAATTTAATACACCATCTTATCAAGTTATTACCTTTTTTTAAGTCTCCTCATAGTTTAAACCATGAATTGATCTTAGCTAAACTATCATTAGAAAACTTGAAAGCAATGAACGGCCTTTTTTTGTTTGAATTCTCGTTTTATGTTAATTTCATACCTAGAAATTATTCATTATCTATTGTTTACCATCCAATTTCAAGTTGTTCAATCTCTTTTTCATCATTATATGATTTTGTTTTTACCGCCCTTAATAATTTCATTACGCAATAGTAACACTCACTGAACGGAATAGAGCAAAAGCAAAGATTTAATCAGTATTTCATGAATTTATCTTAGTTCTTTAAATCCTTTTCCAACGGCTTATAATATTTTAATAATCAAAATTATCTTAGATGTCAATGTAGTAAAGTTGACTAGAGGTGTAAATCTGTATCATAATGATTGAACAAAACACTTTTGATAAAATTAATAGGAATTATTAGAATGGGGATTTGTAGAGATTGTAGTAATTTTGATAGTTAAATTCATAAGTCCACCATTGAAAACCTGGAAGTATTAGATGGTCGTTCTACTATGGGACTTCTCAACAGTGCGCACGCGGGACTCAGAGTCCGATACTAGGACGTAACAGCCGTCCAGTTCATCCAGGTTTCCAATGGTGGTCTAGCTTAGATCTACTCATGAATTAAACCATTAAAAAAATAATTTTTTTAAACAATTACAATGTAAGAAGGAAAATTGAAATGGTAAATAAAGTCCATAGAGGCGGAAAAAACTAGACTGAATGCGTAATGAAGTAATTAAACACAGAATGATGGTAGCAAAGAATAAAATGAGTTTGAAGTCAGTCAATTAGAAATAAAATTATGAATTCGTAAAAAATTGAAAGTGATGTAACCAAAGTATAAGAAAGGGTTAAAATAAAAGATGATGCAATCAACTGAGTGTAATGTTACGACGATGAAGAAACATTTATCACAGTTTCATGTGTTTTATTCTTATTGTTTTAGCGAATTTCAGAAGATCATTGTCTAACTTTGTTAATCACTATGAGAGACTTCAGTGTATCAATTTGATATCCTGCATCAAGAATCTGTCTTGAAGCCATTTGATCCCAAACGTTTTTAGAATATGTTCTTTGGCGGTAACATGAAAAGAGTATCTTTACTGGCATTAAAGAGCACTTTGGTTTGTATAAAACAGGACATGTTCTGATTAGTTCAAATTTTAGTCTTCTGTTAATTATCTCCGAAACATCATCACTTTCGAATTTAAGTTGAACAGAAATAGTTTTTTTTGTTTATTCTAGTCTATTTGTTCTTTCTCTCTTCACATTTTCCATATTTCTTAATAAACGTCTGCAGATACTCGATGTTCCTTAGGTGTTTTTCAATACTCACTTCTAAGACATTTTTGGCAACATATTTGTGTAGTTTAATGAAAAGACGAAGATTGTCAGAACTATGCGTTAATATAACACATAGTTCTAATCATATTCATCTTCTCATTACACTATTCAAATTCCTCATAGAAACTAATTGCTTTAAGCATATTTATAATTAAATTGACTGTAATTTATGAACATTTCAAAATATTCCAATTAAATAGTGTACGTGAAAAATATCACAAAACAGTTATTTAAAAGATATTCATTACATCAATACATAAACTAATTTACTAAACGATATCCTAAGTTTTATGTATTTTTTTTTACTTTCTAACAGTTGACCTGATAAAAGAACTAGACTTGTTTATTTGTCTCCATCATTGTGACATGGTTAATAGCTTCATGATATTACAAATTTATCTTCTATCATCATTACAGTTGGAGACAATAAAACTAAACATTTTACGTCAGTTAGTCATTGTCACTTGAATTAATTCTTATCGACTTAGTGGTGATTAAATAATACACTAGTATCTAGTTATCAGTAGTAATTAAACTTTAAACGTCAATTTTCTGACGTTTTTATGCTGTGTCCGAATAAATAAAGGTATATTATCGAATTTTGTAATTGTAATCTATGAAGTGGTCAATAAACTAAAAATCAAATTGAATGATGTTTAGCATTGCTTAACCATAGGTTGTATGTGTTCGTTTTGGAAATATTTTTAAAGTTTCCACAAGAAAAAAACAATCATTTTTTTATTCTTCTTTTTTGATGAAATAGATATTTACTCCTCGACCTGAGTTGACTCATGCAGGTTCTGATACTGCAATAGCTGCTGAGACTTTGAACTCGATGTACACCAGAGCACTGAAAGTTCTTGATTCACAAATTTATTATGTGAAAGAACAGATCATTAAATGCTCACCCGAAGGGTAAGTAATATTTATTGTCGTATTTAAGACTTATTCAGATTTTTATGTGATTCAGGTTCAAGACAGTTGTAAACGTGTCTAACCACAGTTTTCACATGAATGTAGATCAAAACCCCAAAATGACTGGTGAGTTTTTCAAATCTAAAATGTACAATTTGACTAATGAGTTCTATAGAACAGAAAACTTGCTGGGTTTCTAACCTTTAGCTGAAATATACGATTCTAACTACGTTTACTGTATGACGAACACATACAATATCTATCTGATTGTTTGTAACATGGTGACATATCCATGAGAACGAACCAACAACCCAAAACAATCATCCAAAAAGATTTTTTAAGATGGAAGGTGATTAATTAATTTAAGTTTGATTCCAGCATGTCATGCAAACTTTTGCCTTTTTGAGTCGCATGAAATCACGAATATTTCAGCTTAGGAAATAAATTCTTGCTTTCCCAGTCCGATATCCAACAGGCAGAATAAGATATAGAACATTGAAAAAACAGGACATTATGTGTTGATCTTCAACTATAAAAGAGTGTTTGAATAAAGCCAGAATAATATTAAGTCATTATATCTCATTGTTTCTCTTCAGCTTCTTACAACCGTATTCTTATTAAAGTGTAACGTTGGGGTACGATATAATATCCAGTAATAGATATTCCTATAAATTTTAAGCATTTTATCACATTTCATTTGTTTCCTCTCCTCAAGTTATGCCTTTGTGTACTGTGTTTGAAGTACAACAAATTATTTTTGATATTCTTACGTAGTTATACGTAGTCTATTATGCTGATTTGTCTTGTTCACAACATAACTGTACTTGTGTTCGTATATGCATGCTTGTGTGCAATTTATGCATTAATATATAGTGTGTAATGGCCTATTAATCACCTTATTACCTGTTTATGACTCGATGTACGATAATTACTTGTTCAAAGTAGATTTGAGGAAAGCTAGGAGTGGTCAAACTAAGGCGTAGCATCTGTCCGTCCAAACACCGGCTTTTGGACTGAGCCAAGTAGATAAGTGCAAACTATCTAGTTCAGGTTCATGCAATTACTGTAACCAACGATTGGGGACTTTGGTGATGTATGGCTTAGATGCATCTGTGGTGTACGCTACTTACGTTCGCATATATAAGTAGTATGTAATACCAGTCTTTCCGTGGATCTTAAGTTTTAAATCCCAACAAAAAAAATTTTCAAGAATTTATATTTTCTTCCTAAGTCGTATCTTCTATTTCCGATCTCTTCAATTACCATTAATACTGTTACTGCGTTTACTACTCTGGATTTACTTTGACAATTTAATTTCACTCTGCTATGGGGTATGCCACTAGACGATCTGGACTTTGCAGATCGCCTAACTCTTACATTTCATACACAGTGACAAATGAAGGTGAAGACAACTAGTGTAGCAGAAGACACTGCAGCAGTAGACCTCAAAATACACAAGGGTAAAACCAAGATCCTCAAATACAACATATAGAACGCCAACCAACCCAATCACAATTGATGAAGAAAGTCTGGAAGAGTTGGACAGTTTTACGTACCTGTGATGCATCATCGATGAACAAGGAATTCGTAGAAATGAAGATTGTTTACATTGATTGTTATCTGAGTAATGACCGCCATCATTTGTATGGTTCTTAGCCTCGATCGAATTCTATTGACTGAGTTGCGATACGGACGCTGGTCTAAGTGATTTTACACTGCATATATTATATCTAGGTGATAGGTGGTTGGAAGTAGTCGGCGAGAAACCCTGTATTTACGTTTCATTCTAGCTGTTACATGTCGTCAAGATGTGTCCGGGTGACCCAGTTGCGAATCCACTAGCGAGTATCAGTCCCTTCAAGACTGCAGGTATACCTTGTCAATTAGCATGTAACTTAGCTTTAGGGCTTCTTACCAATCACCCAACAACAAAAAGCATGAAATAATACTGAGTACTGGGGTATAAAAAAGATCAAGTCCATCTGCGTCACTTCAACCGAGTTTGAACTATATCACCCAATATTTTCAACTACTGGTAACGAGTATCACGCTGATCCCCAACTGGGGGTAGTCTACATTTGTCAAAATGGTTTAATTCAACAGTGAACGATTTGATGAACTGATATCGTGTTTTGGTTTGGGCACTCCTACTCCATCTAGGATTACACATCAAGTTAGACGGTAGGTGGATTATATGTATTAATACGTAAATTGGTCTTGTTTATCACTCATGTTTCGTTTCATATATTAGTTTTAGTATAATAAGATGCATTATTATTCTTTTTAACTAAAATTCAACTACCTAGCTCTGAACCTTTATCGGATTTCGATTGTTTAGTCGGTGGATTTTGGCCTGAAACAATTGATCTTATCTGTAATAATCTACCGGAAATATTTTCTCCAGGTCATCCAGACAGATTCTATTCAGTAAGCAATTTTCATCTTGATTTATATTTTTGTATTGTTATGCATTTTTAATTCAACCCTTCATTTACTTACAAATTTCTGGTACAATCTATTTGTATCGTTTAATTTGTTTAAATAAACATAGTTAACAAAAGACTACCATAAATCATAACATGATACCGATTCATAGCAGTTTTTGTAGACTATTTTTTTATATGTGTGTTGTCCAAATGTTGGTATTGATACACCAACTTCCCATATACAAGTCCCAACCTGCTGGTGAGTGAGAAGACTAAGAATGAAGAAGGAAATTTATTAGGCTAAACCGATTGACATGCGTAAGTCTCTTATATATATACTCTGTAGTAAATAAATCCATTTCTTTGCTAATCACATGCACTTATCAACACGACTAAATTTTCAACTTAACTCGAGCAATGTAAATAAAAAGAACATTCTGTAAAATACAATCATTTCATTGTATTTAGTCGCGTTCTCCTAAGCTGCATACAAGCTAATAATTTTGCTTAAAACAAAAATACGCATTTTAAATCTCCTTACTTGCCACAATCCATCTATTTTCTAACATTTGTAAAAAAAAATAGCTATATCGAGGCAATCCACACAGGTTGCACTTATACTAAGACTGATCAAAATTCAGTCTTAAATATCATCAATGAGATAATTCAAACTCTTACTAATAATGATATTGACACCATACCGCGTTGAATAAGTTAGTGATTATTTGGAATTTGTAACTCAATGGATAACTGATTGACGTTTGAACCAAAATGTTCTTGGTTTGAGTTCCAACGTAAATGCCAACACTGGGTTCCAAATACATTCTAGTGATGATTTCCAAATAAGAAAAAGTGCAGATTTTGGATTCCACTTCTAGCCACAACCCATCTGTTTTACTAGTTGTTCTTACTTCAAAAGTTTGTAAATGGAAATAGTTACATAAAAATTATTGTCCGATTAGTATACACACAGTAATATTCTGTAGTATAGAATCTCACGTCTAAGATATCTCACTGATTATTAATCTACTTGAAAATATGAATTTTTGGATGCTGACTCAGTGGTCTAGTTGGATACCACATAAGGATGGAAAATTGGTTAATGAGATAGTGAATCTTTATCGACTGAGGTAGTCAGGATATGTTTTACGTCTACCCAACCACCGCCTACCTCGATGGGCTATGTTTGCTAGTGTGGGGCCGTTTGGTAAAAAGTTATAAATAGGGTAAATCAAAAACTAGCATCAGTCTATGGAGTCACTGACTACCTAACCGATCTATGTAGGTAGGGGCAACTAACTAATTAGGATCCACACGATTATCTAGACAAGCTGTAGGAGACATTGAATTATATTGTTCTGAATCCGCTTCAATGGCTCAGATTATTCTTCCTTTTTTTCATGTCAGAACCTGATTCTCAGAATCTTAACATTCTTTTTCTCCTAACACCTAGTGGTTTCTAATAATACTGTTTTTACTTCTATTATTATGAGATTTGTCTTAATAATTTTATCTTGCTATGCTAACAACATGAAACAATACACATATGTGTCGATTTCTACGTTGCCTGTGACTAACGGGTTTAATTTAGATACGTTCACGATAGTCTACAAGTCCCAGACTCGGTTCCTGGACAGACTGTAGGTTTCCAATGAACCAACAGATGTTATATACCACAATGAAACAGCTGTCTAGTGCTCCCCAATTATCTAAGATTGTCAAGTTAAAGTCGATTCGTGATTGTAAAACTATAAAAGGAATCTCAGAAATGATAAAAACATATTCATTTAAACTTATGATCAATAGTGTATTTTCCTCTTCATTTTGTATTCACTTTTCCAGTTATATACTGTTAGCATGGATTTTATTAAAACGGTTGAAACAAAAACCTGGTCAAATAAACAACTTGTCAATTTACGCAATCATCCATCTTATTCAATGTTTAGAAATAAATGGAGTTTACCAGTTTACTTTCAAATCAGGTATTTAAAACGATATATATAGTCTAGTTTTTATTTTGAATAAGTTGACTATTATTACTCGGACGATAATTATGATTGTTCAGTTGTTTTGTTTGGAAAATTTTTACATAATTAAAAACAAAATTGATGGGGAAAGAAGTCATAACATGTTTATTATCATGATTATTCATGGATATGAAGTATAGGTTAGTTCTAGAGTCAATTTCTCTCAGTGTCTCATCTATGATAATGGGATGAACTGATATTATCAATGAATAATACACTTTGTAATTGTGAAATACTGAAAGTCATGTAGGTGGTTACATCATGTTATGGGTTAAATAAGCTTAAAAATTATAGTCTTTGTAAGCATACTGAATTAAAACAGCTTGTAGGCTAAATACGTTTGTTATGACTCTCTTTTTTATGATTTTTGCCTCCAGCTTGATCAGACTGGGATTGATGCATTCTGATTATGAGCCTTAGGAGAATATGTCAAATATATAATGCATTTTATATTTCTCAACATTTATTTAATTGACGACAGAAAACTATTGGGAATTATGGTGTCCAATCTGTTCAATCGATTATATATATGTCCAGTTTTCATCATCAGACATTTTTTCCAATAGATTAACTACCGACTGTCATTCATAGTTGACGTACGTGCCTGGGCATGAATATGTAATCAGCTCAAGTAGGCATACTTCACATAAGCATCATGAAAAAGAAATTTAGCACTGGATGAGAAGTAAACGACAGGAATTAGTTTTAACTGTTATTGTGACCGAATACTCAGATGGGTACAACCAATTTATTATTTTAAATAAAAGTACAGCACGTTATCATTGATAAACTGGTGTGTTTTCGTGGTTATTTATACAAACATACCACTAAGCAGCAATCTAGCCTATGTTACACCAGTAGTTCACGCTCTCTAAGGACAACGGTAAAAAACTTAAATCCCAAATCTCAAACGAACTGTAAGTTTACCACGTGTAAGAACACATGTCTGTATGAAAAATACTATCACCACATACGAGACTTGGACGTAGAGTTGCTTATCGTTTGTCAGTAAACGTTAAGCAAACTCGTGTGTTTCAATTTCAGTTCATTCTGAACATATTCTCATGGAATGTTTATATGGAGCACATTCACTTTATGAGGCCTGTCCAAATACTACTATCCCTGTAAACAATATATATATCTTCCGTCTTGTGTATTTCAGGGAAAGTTTTTGATTGTTATCTAACCATCATTATTATTATTTTCCAGATTCCAAGAAATAGCTGCAAATGTTGAAAACGCTATGAAGAAAGGTCTGATAGAGATTAAAGAAAGTCAAAAACGTATGTTTATTTTTTTCCTTAAAGTGAAAAATAAGTATTCTTTGCTTTTTTCCTTTAGTTTCCGTATTACAAAGTTGATATTATTATTACACTGCTTGCAAAATCTCAAATTTAGCCTCTTATAGGTTACAATGTTTCGTAAATAACTCAAATTTACACTTAGTTATCTACCCCACGTCCAACCATGAAAGGAGCCAAAAAGTAGATACTATCTTTTGTTTGTTGTCATCTCAGTTGTTACGGATTTGAGGTAGAGAATAATACAAGGTGATACAAATCTGAATTGTTGGTTATTACTTTGACTATGGAATCTCGTATACCTGTGCATTCAATAAATAAGCGTTTAATTCACTGCAATATATGTGAAGCACAGTGACAGCAAAACTAAAATCCAGTTACATTATCTAATCAACAATTCAACAGATAGACAAAATCATTGCAAGACCTGTTACAGTATGCATTAGTCTAATCTGTAGCAATGTTCAGAAGGTGGGAATCATTGTAAGATTGTTATGTGATCTAAAACCTCCGACGACTGATCCTGATAGATTCTCGGACTTTAGTCACAAAGTTTATAGTTTTTGAAACTGTTATGATCACTAGATACTGGGTTTTTTTAGTGAAACGCCTTATTGCTATCATACCCCTCCACAGTCAGCAGTACGACTTCGCTCTCAGAATTTAAGTTGTTGCTTTTAGTCTTGCTGTTCTCCAGTCGACACGCCTGGTATTGTAGGACCTACAGAAACATATGTTCCTGCGATTATAACTTGGTTGAGACATCACAATATGGAAGCCTGACCATCGAGTCAAGGTAACAGCTATGATCGAGGAGTACTTACAGTTCAACACGAAACCTATATCCACAGTTTCTTGCAAATTATCTCCAATTATCTAGCATAGATAAGTTTATACACATGTAGATATTTATTTTTTAAAAACATCAATTTTGTCTTTAATATAGTTGGTGAATTAATCTTCAATGTATGTATATATGCATATTTTCGTTCTGTAAATTTACAGTATGTTTAATTGAAGTTACCGAAGTTGTTATCTGTCAATTGAATCGTTGTTGGGAAGAAGGAATTTATTTAGATAAGTTGATCCATAGATTTTGGAAATTAACTCTACAAATATTAAGCCGTTATTCAAGTTTTATTGATGAACAAATAAAATCTGTCCAAGAGGTAAGTATATATATGTAGTACATGAAAGTGTTTACAATTGTCATGCATAAGTCAATTTTCTGATGTTGATTACCAAGTGTTGTAGTGTTTTGATTTAAATTATAGATTTCATGTTTAGTTTGGCGTTTTTATATAGAATATGTTAGTTTTTAATAGTTAAAAATATTTGACTCCATTACTATTGAGTAACATGTTCAACTCATACTTTCTATCTACTTCCGTTTGAGCAAATGCATAGTGCTATCATTAAGCTTGACATATAATCTATGATTGTTTAAAAGCCTAGATACACTAATCTGAATTACATTAAATCAACTTCCTTAAATATTAGTTTCAGTTCATTGTTCATAATACCATGGGTAGTACCATCGGTTCTCGTATTTTAAATGTGACTCGTAACCAAATACCTGTTGTATAAATTTCAGTGTACATTTTGTTAAAACAGCTCCCTCTCTTTCTAAATTAATTAACACAAAAATAGTAGAATCTAATATTTATTCATCTTTAATATTTACTTCATGTCTAATCAGAAGTTTTCGTTTGTCTTTCCATAGAAACGTTATATATTACTTTGTAATTTGTGCTACTTTCTCTTATCTTACCTATTGAATGTTCTTAGTCAATCAATTTTGTTGTTTACAGAAGGAACTAAATATACATACTCATGTACTTCGATTTAAGCCATTAATTTTTGTATGAGTCTTATAGATATTCATAGCTTACATCCCTAATTTACTTTAGTTAGGTAGGTAGCCATATAAAACCAAAAAGCACTAGATATCTGTTTAGTTCCACTAATGGATTCGTCAGCAGTACGCGTCCAAAATCTCATTGGCACAGAACCTGGGACCGTTCGATAGTGACTCAGTGGTCTAAAGGTTAGGCACTCGCTGCCAGACTTGAAGCTACTGGGTTCGATCCCTCATTTGGTCGTGAATGGGCATTTCTAGAAAAAAGATGCTATCCAGTGCTTCCTAGTTTTCACTGTTGCCCTCGTAACAGAATTCATCTACAAATCATGATAACATTTAGTAAAATTGTAATATTCACTTCATGTTTGTTTGTTTTCTTACCAAAATGAGTCTGGACATTACAGCTTGATCTGATCACTTTTAAATTGATTCCTTTCGTCCTCTGTATTTTGAAACGACCTATCACTTACACCTTGTGTTAACTGTTTTCATGGTTATTTTTCTTAATTTTTCCTTTTACACACGCACACACTGTTGTTTTTCCTTCTTCCCAATGAATTGTTTTACTTAACTTATTAAGTACAAGTAAGCGTCTTTCTCTAGGGGATTTTTATTTCTTTTTTTAAGAACCTAGACAACTTTTCTGACCTAGAATTTCACCAGTATTCCTCACCTGTTAAGTTCTGTTTCATGCATGTCATTAAATAGTTTTCCATACAGAACAATCGGTTCCAAAACTCTCTCAGTCTTTAATACAATGCTCCTATTAGTGTGACCAGTTAAAATGGATTATTTAATCTTTCTTCTCAGGGTTAAAACTTCTTGTATGGATTTTTTTAGTGTTTATGTTGACTTTTCCTATAGTTCACGTATATTAATAGTAGTGACACCCCAGACATGTTGTGTGCTTTTGTTAAATGCTATGTTCGCTCACTTGAACTGAATATGTTTATTCCCTTTAGAAGTAGTGTACTGTCATAATTAACAACAATAGCAAAATATCTGCTTAAGCAATAAATATTCCCAATACAAGTTAAGTCACAAGTATGTACTTACATGGTATATCATTTCAAGTGTTTGTATGATGAACTAACTTTAACCAGGCAGCTATTGGAAAACAAGGAGCTTTGAACAGAGCAGTTGTGTTTCGTCCTAGTTCAGGACACATCCCCATCTTTTTTTTTAACATCAAAATGTTACAGTTTGGTTTATTGTGTTTGATAAATATTCACTTCAATCTGATATTCTGAGGAAAATATCATACATATGGCACAATGTATTGAATGAAATTCCTGTAAATTATCTCCCTATATCCTAAAATCTTCTGTATGAATGAAGAAAAGTTACATTAATCATTCCGTTTAACAGTTAATATTATATTACTCCTAAATTTACACTTTTCTTTGTAATTAGAATAACGATTATTAGTGAATGAAGATATACTATTTCGTATTCATGTGCAATATCACTAGGAAAAAAAAGGCTTTTTTAGACTATTGAATTGTATAACCATCTAATTGTTGTCTGATATCTACAAGATTTTCAAAGTGTATATCATAATTCGAACAAAAGCAAGAATAACATAGTTTGCAGAATACAATCAATTCATTGTATCTCATTGCTTTAACTCCAGCTATATACATGCTAATAAGTTTCATTATTTCTAACTATCAACATAATGTTCAATTTCACGTGGATGAATTGTTATTAACAACTAATTTGTTTCAAACTTATTAGACGTTTCTGACAGTTTTTTTTAAAATAATTGTCTAAGGTGATTATTCTAGAATATTTAAGATAATATTATTGCTTAAGGTAACAAAAGTCTGGAAAGTTTAGAAATAAAATGAGAGTTTGTGAGTTCAGTTCACTAGACTTTGATTATAAGGAATTAAAGAAAAATGAATTAGAATGTTTAATTTGCTTTTGTTAACAAGACTTACTCACTCCTGTCACTCTTCGTGGAGGACCATAGGGCTTCCCATCAAGATTCTTCATCCAACTCTGTCCTGGGCAATCCTTTCCAGTTACTATTCATCCTTTTCATGTCTGCATCGAATTCTCGGCGTAGTGTGCTCCTTGGTCTTCCACTTTTTCATTTTCCTTTAAGAGTTCAAGTTAGCGCTTGCCTCGTGATGCATTTTGATGATTTCCTCAATGTGTATCCTGTCCACTTCCAACATCTTTTCTTAATTTCTTCTTCATCTAGAAGTTGGTTTGTTCTCTCCCACAGTTGGTTGTTGCTGATAATATCCGGTCAACGAACATTCAGTATCTTGTGTAGACAATTGTTTAGAAATACTCATACTTTTTTGATGATGGTCGTGGTAGTTCTTCAAGTTTCAGGTCTGTGCTGTCGAACTGTCTTGACGTTTGTATTACAGATTCTGACTTTAGTGTTGGCTAACAGTTGTTTTCAGTTCCATATTTTCTCCAATAGTAGGAATGCTGGCCTTGCTTTGCCATCAGATCCTTCTAGTTCATCGATGATGCTCCTCATATAAGTGAAATTGTCCACTTTCAGAGTTTCTTCACCAATTTCGATCGGGTTGGTTGGTGTTCTTCGTGTTGTATTTGAGGATCTTGGTTTTACCCTTGTGTATGTTGAGGTCTACTGCTGCAGTGGCTGCTGCTACACTAGTTGTCTTCACCTTCATTTATCACTATGTATGAGATAGAAGAGTTAGTTTATCTGTAAAGTCCAAATCGTCTAGTTGATTCCGAGCTGTCCATTGTATTTCGTGCTTCCCCTCAGATGTCGAGATATTCATAATCCAGTCAACCATTAGGAGAAAAAGAAAAGTTGGGGAGAGGAAAGTAAACAGCCTTGTCTGACACCGGTACTCACTTGGAATGCATCTGTCAACTGTCCTCAGCAGTGTGGTCTGTTGCATGAATTCCACCTTTCGCTCAATAAGTGCATAAGTATTTTCAAACGAAAGATAAATCCATCTACGCCGTTGAAATGGATTCTAAGCTATGTCATTCAAACTCTCAAGCCATTGGTTACCATAACCTCGTGAACCCTAACCTGATCGTCTGCACTTAACAACATAGTTTAATTCAGCAGTCAATAATTGCGTGAACTGATCCCACTTCTTGGTTTGGGCACCAAGAATTTACATCCCTCACATTTAAGCTTTATATTCAGTTTTCACTAAATTATCTGTTGATATATCATTGGCTAATTATCATCGAAGTGTTGTTATTTGTAAGGCTGAATGGAGTTGTAGATTAATATTTTTACAGGATTCAACTTTTAATCTTATTAAGATAGCAGATTTGAATCCTGTTCTGTCTAACAACAATCCTCACGTAAATAGAAACGTAGTTTGACTTAAAGGTCTAAATAGATCTGCGTCAATTTACTTCATTGAGAATAGAATGCTATTTAAACTGATGAGCCTATTCCATAACTGTTGGAAGCCTTCGATAATTCCTTAGTAAAGTCCCCAGAAGTCAATAAAATCCTGGAAATACTTCAGTCAGTTGACATTCATTAGGAACTCTCAAGAGAATCCTAAACAGTGATAAATTATGTTTCCTTTATCGTGATTGGATAATTGCCCATGTTGTTTGCAAATTTAATATGTTTTTCAGAAGCTAAAATACCATGGTCACCTCTTATAATTATCTTCATTTTTTCATACACGGATTAACCTTCAAAGTAGTTTTTGTATACTTTCCGCCTTTTGTTTTCTGTTTATGGCTCTTGTGTAATGAATTTCTAAAGGCCATGAAGTGACTAGGAAATTATTCGGTATCTAAACGTCCAATTGTTTGTGATGTACCTGCAACTTACTATACATATAATACTATTCAAGAAAAGTTTTCTTTGATTTCCTTTATTATTATATGTTAATTTAGAATAACGCTACTGCAAGTCAATCGTCTGATTCAATTTTACTGACAAAATCAACTGATTACTTTCCTGAATTGTTAATATACTTTTTTGTCGATTGTCTTCGATTGGTTGATTATGTTCGCTTAGAATTGAAGGGGGAAATTTTAACTCGTCTCAACCAACGCCTGGTTACACAAACAATGGACAACGATAGTAATGATGACACTGTGAACTATGAAACTATATTAAGTGAGTGTTTGGAGCAGTCATGTGAACGCTTAATTGCATCGATCAGTTCAATAATGGATCTTATCGTTCAAAAAATTCAAGTAAGATGCAAGATACTATGTATCAAGATCAAGTCCTGTTATTTTTATAAACATGAACTGAATTTTAGTACTATACATATATTTATTGTACTGATATATGTATATATTATAAACAACGTATGAAATTCTACATATTTACACGCGAATCAGTAAATCAGCCAACTGAAATACAACTGAATAAAATATAATAATAATCGATAATAGTAGATTTTGTGCATTTCATAGAGAAATGTAATAATAACAATTTGTTTACTGTTAGATTTTTATGTTACTATGTATGTACCGACTGACATATAACTCGTTACCTAATAAATCCCTGAGATCGGTCAGTTTGTAAGGAATCTTATGAATGACGTAAGGTGTCAAGATATTATACGTCAAACAACAATAGTCTTCTGGACACTTTGGATAAGAATCTAAGAGTACTTAGGATGGATTTCACACCTGTCAGATATAAAGCCAAGGCAATCTACACTGATCCATACTGTAATGATAAGAAGAGAAATAGTTGGGTGCACCGAATGCGTTACGTATTTATATAAGTGTATTAAGTTATATAGTTTTTTCGTTAGTGATATATAGATTAGATTAAAGCATGTTATTTCTCAACCAATCAGCGCTAGCGGATACTTGGAAAAGACCCTAGAGTCTTCTTGTGTAAAAAATATGAATATACTTACGTTTTTCTTATTGTGTTTCCTACTCCCATCCAACCTTATTATTTGGAATACAATAACATTCCTGTTCAGCCGCGTTCTTGCTCCCAAATGCCCTGGTACGGCCGAAGGTATAGAGAGTCCACTGTTCCTCTCGAAATGGTCTCAAGTGACCTCGCGTATACAGCCAATGTCAGAGAAGTCCTACTCAATGCCCTCTCGCGGTGGGAGTGTTGTGTACGAAATTGAGAGGACGAAAAGCGAATCTTCGGTACTTTACCTGAGTTGGTGGTAGATACGGAGGATGCACCTAGCTAGGGGAGTTGGGAAACCTTGATTCCAAACCAATGATGCACATGGGCTCCAGGATCGTGAGGGAACAAATGGCATATGAACCTATTGTTGGTCACCGGCTACCATGGGGCTGCATCTCCTGACGTTGCTCCACTGCCCTGTAGATTAGACCTTTATGTTGAAGGCTCCGGGTGTTTTCCCCTAAGAAAGCCACCTACTTCGGTTTGAGTGCCAGGGCAGCATCCCAGCCCTCACACATATCGAGTGATTTGTGTGGCGCATATCTATTTGATGCCTTTATGTACCAATGTTTATGAGTTTTAATAACGATGATAATAATAACCAGTTTCTGATTTGGGGACTTGCCAGTGAAGTAGTGTCCAAGACTACTAAGCAATGAGTGGCTGGGTCGTAATAAGAGGAATCATAATAGTTTGACATAACTGAAAAAATCCGGACGCAATTGTAAAAGGTTTATTTGTACAACTCTAATGATATCTACAGAATTGAATTTCTATCAAGGACGAGTGTATGTGAATGTGTATAAAAACAAGACCTCGCGTGTTTCAGTGACTTGGTCTGTATTTATATATATCCTATAAAACATTTCCGGTCTCATTCAACTTCAATATCAAAATACCTTCCTACCGGAATACTGTTTTATTCCAGTTAGTCATAAGCAACATGGAATCTGGCACAATTTTCTATCGAGGATATTGAAATTCTTTGAGGATATCACTAGTTCTAACAAAAGCTCATCTTATGCTTTTATGCGGCCAATAATGTTCGAGTAAAAGGCCTTCAGAAGGTTTATAGACTTTGATGGTATTCCCTTCAAAAGATTCAGCATTTCCTCAAGATGAACTAGTTGGAGTAATAGTATTAATGATATAATTTGAGACAAATAAACGTTTTAATCCAAAGGTCTATTGTTTTATATTGTTTGAACCGTCACCTTAACTAATTAGCATCAAAATAGTTATCTTGTTCAAAATTCCTTCACCTCTTCATAATTAGAACTCAGGGTAAATATTCACTTGATTGACAGTTTCGGAAGTCACACATTACTCTGTATTCTAAACGTCTCTTGTCAATGCTGTGTACATAAGACTGAGTAAAATTAAGGGGCATAAATAACCGAATAGTGTTCCCTCTCTCTTTCTTCTTACACTGTAACAAATATCAATAAAACAATGACTTTTTATTACATGTTCCTAATCTAATATACTTACTTATTTCCACATGCATACATACATACTCTATCTACACTTACTAAGCATGTATATACTTCATAACAATCGATATAACATTTTGTTTGTTTATTTTCTAATTATCGTGTTCATTTTCAGCAAAACTGTTCAAATAGTATTCGCCAAGTACTAGATATACCGCGTCAATATCGTTGGACTAATCGAGAGTTTCCTTCTAATGCATCTTCATATGTATCAAACATTATACATCCTTTAATGAAACTCGATGCTTTAGGATTACGTTTATCTCAATCAGTCCCTAACGCTCAACCATTTTTATCTACTTTAATTAAGAAATGCATCACAACTGTTACTCATGAGTAAGTTCTTTTTTTTGTTCTGATGCATTAAAATTGAAAGTATTCGGTTGTGTTTTATTGTTGACAACTGAAGAAATCATTTTGAAGTTTGTTATTTATTAAACAACTGAGGTCATTTTGTGAAAAAATCATTGGAAAATAGAAAAAATTACAAAATTGACTATTATAATGTAAAACTCTTCAACGTACTAATTCAACTAAACTACGACATCATACATTTTATGTACATAGAATTACCTTCTGGTAATTATTATACCGCAATGACTTTATATTTGTATTAATCTTTAGAGGTGAATTCGAAGACATATGATTATCATTTTAGAGCAGTATATCAACTGAGGGTTTATGTATTAAGGTTTTGGTGGCCCTGAATCTGACTCCAATTGGATCGTATGATTATCATTATCGAATGATTGCTGTCGAAATATACATCCTGGCTACCCTCGTATATATGCATCGACTTAATTCATGTTAGTGAATAATGAAATTAAATAAGTCAGATACGAGAATGGGTTTCGAATACCCATGTTTCATACAATCATTGACTCAGATAGGCGACCAATAAAACGAAACAATGCGCGGTGGAGGAAGCGTGTGAGCCAACTCGATTTAACCAAACGTAAATCGATATTTGTAGTCAGAAAAAAAATAAGTTACAGACATGTGATGAGTAAGATAAGAAATACACATACATACTCTCACATAAAAACAGTCAAGGTTGGTAAGCCAATAATTAACAAGACGAATGAATAAATTAGCCTGTCCAATGGCTAGAGTAACCTATGTGGGCTTGTGGTGTGTGCTACTTATATTGACATAAGTAGTATACGATGTTTGTCGCGAACATGTCTGGCAGCAGAGAGATATGAGGATCGAATAGTAAAGAATGGAAACAGACTGCAATTTGTATGAAAATGCAAGAACAATGAAGTCTGAGTCATTTTGAAACAATTGGTGAACATTTTGCAAATTAAGCATTTACCTTATGATTGTTAGATTTTATTAACAAGTCCTGTAATTTTGTGACATACATTCGATTGTTCCCACTGGTGTTCTCGTTCACTACAGGCTTGACATAGTACAAGCCCCCACAAGGTGTCTATTAGTGATATGATATCTATGATGGGGTCTATTCATGAAATATCAACCTTGTGTTTTAGTTTTCAATACCATCATCATTTTTGAGAACTACATTTTTTTCTGCTAACCGACAGGATGGAATTTTTCTTGATTATCACACTTTTTTCCATTCGCAATAATATTATATATCATTTAGTTGAAATCTTGTATTCTCAAAGCGTATTTATTCTGTATACATTTTCTTAGTGTTAAATAGTTAGAGGTAGTCGACAGAATACCTTGAACCTAGGTTTCGTGCTTGTTGGCACTCGTCAACATGGAGTACGTGCAATCCTAAGGGACCTGATGCTCCCCCATCCAATTTCACAGTTTGAGACGTTATCACTGAGCTATTCGGGCTGCGACATGATCGACCACTAAGTAGTAGGCGATATAATATTTGTCTAGTCCTATATGTTGATCGAATTCTATCGACCAAGTTGCGGTGTGTTTGTCTGTTCAGGGTTTCCTCTCGACAACCTCCAACTAAATAATGTCTTAATAATATATAGTACATGCAGCCAGTTAGTCAATTATACGCAACATAGAATCTGGTACATATATACATCTGTTTAAGATGTTATTTGATGTGGAGTCACTTAGACTGGCGGGCATGTTGAAACTTGATCGATAGAATCCAACTGGCACTAAAGGACCAGACGAAAATAATATTGACCACTGCACTTAATTATCAATCAATTGTATACACTTTTTCTGCAGATTTCTATATAGTTGGTAATAACTAATTAATTTTATTTAATAGGTCTAATTTTTCATGTATCATTTTTCTTACATTATCAAATAAAAGCTATACAGCTCAACTATCAGAAGTGTCTACATCAGTGCGAAAAATGGAAGATAGTATACGGCGATTACGTGAAGTTAGACGTAGTAGTTCCCAAATTTTCAACCAACCTCAATCTGTCAATGGTAGTAGTGGATTTCACTCAGATGATAAAATTCGTCATCAATTGTACTTAGATGCTAAAGCGTATATTGATGAAGTTAGTAATGTAACACTACTGCGAGATTTTCTTCTTACCATATTTTCAACTTATTTCTTATTCATTATTTTGTGTTGGTTAGAGATAAGATACGTGTCCGTGAGTTTGTGGCCTATCCATTTCTCAGTGTTCAATATGGGTGCAGTAATAAGCATTGTCGGGTATTTTTGTGTTTATTTGATGAGTTATTACTGCGTATAAGGGCATAATTTCCACTGAGAATTTCATTCTAACCTTTAGCTTCCATTTTATTTTTTTAATCCGGGAGGTTGAGATGTGCTATTGGGGCCCTATACACAAACACCTCAGGTAGAGTGAGGGCATACAACCACCTTTCTCCATTGCTTCACTCAAGCAGTGGGGTTAGGTCCCACCATTCTTCTTCAACTTTGCTATCGATGACGTTCTGGGAACAGCTCTGATGGATGTAAGTGATGGTGATGTGGACCTGTTACCTGGAGAAAGACTTCTCGACCTTGAGTATGCGGATGGTATTGTCTTACTGTGCGATAATGCCCAAGCCATGCAATCCACACTTAATCAGTTGACGACCAATGTCCGTAGGTATGGCGTGTGTTTTGCATCTTCTAAGTGCAAATTAACTCCATAAGACTGGCGGGACCCTGATCCTGCACTCACCCTGGGTGGTGAGTAGATGAAAGTAGTCGGGAAGTTCGTGTATCCGGGTAGCTGTGTAAGTGATAAGATCAATTCACGTATATTGAAAGCCAGAGAGACTTACATCAATCTAGGCCATTTTTGGCGCCCTCGTGATGTCAGTCTGGCTGTAAAAGGTCGGATCTACAAAGCGTTGGTGAGAGCAGTTTTGCTCTATGCTTGTGAAACCTGGCCTCTCCGAAGTGAGGATGTTAGACGAATCTCTGTGTTTGATCATCGTTGTCTCCGGAGGGTTGCTAACATTCAGTGGCAACATCATGTTAGTAATGCAGAGGTTCGGCATCGTATGTTCGAGCACAGAGATGATAATCCAATTGGTGCCACCATCTTGAAAAATCGACTTCTGTGTCTTGGACATGTTCCACGTCGTCGGCGATGTAATCAAGTTATCCCATCTTATTATTTTCCACCTATCCATCTGATCTCCCTATGCTGGATTACTGATCCACAAATAATTCAGGCTTCTAACCCTTTTTACTGTTAATTATATATATAGTATTATTTGATACTCATTTTCGAAAGAAATATCAGTCTTATGCAAGCCAAGGGATGGAATGGCGAACATCATCTATAAAATAAACTGGTCCAACTACGAAAAACACTACATTGTATGGTGTCACCTTCTTTGTGTGCATAAACACCACTTGATAGCTGTCAAACCCCATCGCATATCCTCACTTATATCAATGCACGTGGAGAATTGTGAATACACACTCGACTGAGAATATTTTGAGATGTTATACAAAGGAAGTACGAAGACTATAGGATTTCTAGAAGTTTAGCACTCAAGTCAATCAGTAATCAACATGCACATCGGAATTGACTCAATTTGCCAACCGGTTAAAAAAGTTATGGATAAGTCTAAAGTTAAAACTCAAGAGAATGGTAGTGGCAGTTAGGAAGAATATGCAGATAACGACAGGTTAATTGTCAACAATAACCAATTAAGATTGGGGTCAACGGAATAAGCCGTCAGTCATATGTGAGAAATTCGAATAATCCACTTCTACGTGAAGTTTTTGTTGGTAATGTTATCCAGTAAGACAATGAAAGCTTCATGATTACACTTTCGAATTCTCAGAGAATGGAAACTTACCCAAGTCATCCTCTGAGCTACAAATTTCCACCATTAACTTAAGGACCTTCATATTTGATCAGTGGTCTAATTGATAGGATGCAACAATTAATCCGTTTGAATTTGTTAAGTTCAGTTTTGCTTAAAACTTGTAATATTATTTAGTTCTGTTTAAAACTAAAGGGGAAATTTTACATACTTTTATTTTTTCTTAAAAGACATTGATCAGTGAAGATCATTAGAGAATCTAAATAATGTATAGAAAGGCAATATCGAATCAAGACATTACAATAAAATATCATTTTATCAAAGGCAGATTCTATCGTTTAGGATAGTAGCAAAAAGAGTAGTATTTGAAAGAAGTAATGTATACACTAGTTAGGGTATAATTAGGAGTTAAAAGTTTTTAGTGAGTGTTAGTTAAGCTCAGTTGATTAAATTAAAATTATATAATGAAATAGGAAACAGTTTAAAAAAGATAAGGCTATTAACTAATGTCTTTTTTGAAAGATTCTTTGAATATAAATGTATGATTCTTGGTTGTGTTGAATTTGTCAAATGTATCCTTTTTACTTTTTCAATCTGCAGTCTCTATGGATCGTTTAGAATTGACTTTATTTCACCTTGTATATACACGCTTGATTTGTGCTTGTTGTTGTTGCTCGTGCTCTGGCTGCTTGTGGAATATATTTCCCTTTTCCGAACTTGGACTCCTCTCTCTAGTTAGCGGAGCTAGAACGCGTCGGAATAGCTAGCTTATTTGTCATTGTATCAGAGTCTTCGTTCCGTTCTCAGATTTGGTAAACTCGTTATCTCTTCAAACATAGCACCTGTCATCTGCTTGATTGTGGATAGAACGTTGATAGTTCAAAGATCCTTCATAGGATTCAATAATCCAATAACTTTGGATTTATTGCGTTCTATTGAAGCCATGGTTATCGAAAAAATTAAACCAGGTGAATACAGTAGAAGCTAGAGTGGAGAAATCACCAGGTGTCCACACTGATTCATCTAACTAACCTAATAATTTACTGTTAGTCTAGTTCGTTTGAATGGAACCAAGCTCGTGGAGGGCAACAACTAATATCCGCCAATACTTAGGCGGCACTTTTCGGAAGTCAGTTTAACACTTTTCAATATTCAATCACTAACACCTTCCAACGAATTTCTCGCTTGTGTGAGACGAGCATTAGACTTTGGGAACTCAATGAGTACCTTAAACGCAATCAGATCCCCACATGACTTTGAACTATAAAAAATTTCCATATTGTGAATTATAACATATTTTTCTAACTCTATGTGGGAATTCCTAATAACTCTTAGTATGCTTCGAACTTTTGCATTTTGCGGTCCCGATTTGGTATATCTTTTATCTTCGATTCAATCATTTGTTCGCTGCTTTTTTTCAATCTTCATCGACTGAGATGGTTGGGCCACTTGTTACGTACATCGATTACCACGACGCGCAATGCTGACTAGTGTTGGGGATGGTTGGAAGAAAGTTAGGGGTGGCCAAACCAAAACATGGCATCAGTCCTTGAAGTCACCAACTTCTGGTCTGAGCCTTGTTGGTAGATGCAGGCTACTTGGTTGGGGTCCGCGTGACTATCATAACCAATGGTTGGAGACTCTTAGTGACATGGCTCAGAATCGATCACAATGGCGTAGGTGTATAAATTTTCTGTCTTCCCTTAAACCGTGATATTAAAATTACCTTTCTTTCTACGGACTAATTCTTTCTTCCTTTACTATATCCTTATATGTAATCTTTTTTATATATTACCACCATTGAATTAACCACTTCTATGAATCCGGTGTTCATCTTGTTGTGCTAATGCGGTGTGGCAACTTGGACCGATGCATATATGTGCCTGGTCCTACGTTTTAACTGACTGACGTTTTTTTCGAAAAGTGCAATAACGCCACGTGATGCACTATTAGTCTACAGTATCTAATCAATGGATTTGTTTTTATGAAATAACCACTTTATTAAATTAGATCAGTTCAAAAGAGCACTATTTGCTTAGAATTTGTGCACCCCTAGTGTAATTGTTTATGTAACAGCTACATTTTTTAAAATCTTATTTGGACTTGTGTTGCTTATTTTTCGTTTTTAAGGTAAGGAAGTTTTGGAGTTTAGATCGAGATTATACATGTGAGTTGGACGATTTTATGGAACAAATAGACACAATTCGAACGGAGCCAAATGTCTCCATTATGAATACTATTCCAGCAGTTAGTCAAGAGTGATTAACAAAATTAAATTGTGATAACTTTTATGTACATTATATAATATGGGTATATGTTACTTGACAACATTTCTATGCTTTGTCAATCAAATAAAGTTTGTCTACATTGGTCTCCTCGTTTTGTGTTTGAGTAAACTTTTCGTTTCTAGATACTAACCTTAAGATCTTTTCTTTTGATTTATCAGGTAGTTGACCGATGTAGTCAACACCGTCAATGTATAATTTTGGTAAATGATCTTCTAGCAGGAGGCAAACTAATTCCTTGTCTTCAATCTGTGGGTTTCCACTCACTATTAGGCGGCGTAAAGCTCTGGAAAAAAATATAGACAAACAGTTTATTGACGGGAAAACTTAATCAACGTTATTAATGTAAACAATAACTTCTAGTTCTTTTTAAGCAAATTGCCAAAATTTCACTGGACCACTTACTTTGAGTGTGCCAATGTCGCTAGGCCTTTTGAAGTAATAGTAGGGCACTCACTGACATCGAGAAATTGTAATCCTTTGATACGTCCAATTCTCGACAAGCAAAAATCATCAAGATGTATACATCTTTTCATTTTTAAGTACCTTAGATGAGTTAAACAGGCTATAAAGTAAATAAGTTATATTTTGTATATATTAATGCACCAAATTGAAGTCAATACATACATCAATACAATACAATCTGGGTCGCTAAAACTGATTTTTAAGCATACAAACTAGAATCTATGTGAGCACTTGTCAAAATTTGAACGAACAGCTTAAAAACCTACAACCCAGAGTTTTCAACCATGGATTATAGCTATTTCGAAAACCTGAGAAAGGAAGTTTGCAGAACACCAAAATTAGTTTGGATTAACTGCTTGTCTTGACCAAGCCAAACTTAGTTATTTTTCCATCTACCCCTGTGGTAATATGGACAATGTTTGGGCGTAGTTCGTTTCTGAAATTACACAAAGTTTTCAGTTGCTTTGGTCATAGTTCGTAGAACTCAGTAGGACGAGACTTTATCAGCGTTACTTAAACTTTCAAAATACGTAGAATGGTTAACACAACTATTTTCATCTCTATCGATAATTAGACTAAGCAATGGCACGTCGGTCAAAATACACTTTATGGTCATGTCGTGCGGAAGTTGCGTGAGAAACTAGCGTGTTTTTATGTGCTGAGAACCACTACATGGATATCCCATCTCCATCAGAAATATGTAGGTGAAAGACCAATCCCTGAGAAGTGAAACGGTGTCAAATACTGTTACAACGTATCTCGATCGATAAACTTCCTTCAGACTGCGGAGGACAACTACATTAAAAGTTCCGACTAAGGTATCCACAGCGGAGTCTAGGAGCAGCTTGGTTTCCTGGGACTCGAACTCAAACTGACTCGTGACGGGAGGCAAGGGTCCTAAGCTCCATATTAGTCACTCAGTAATCCTGGAAAGCTTACCTATCAAGCTGAATAATCATTCCCTAATGCTCTCGCCAGCCTTAACTGAATTACAGCTTTTCTAATTTTGCTAGGAGTTGCACGTAAGGTCCATCGACGGCTATAAGAAAATTGAAGATAACGAGAGTTGCCTGCACAAATTCCTTGCTTACTGCCTCAGTGAAATGGACTGAACCAACCAGTATTTTGTTTTATATACCAAACTATTAAATCCGGTCTTATTGAGTCCACTGTTATTCATCGTTGCTATCTACACATTTTTCGCTTATTTCGTTCAGTCAGTCAGTTAAAACGTAGGACCAGGCACATATATGCATCGGTCCAAGTTGCCACACCGCATTAGCACAACAAGATGAACACCGGATTCATAGAAGTGGTTAATTCAATGGTGGTAATATATAAAAAAGATTACATATAAGGATATAGTAAAGGAAGAAAGAATTAGTCCGTAGAAAGAAAGGTAATTTTAATATCACGGTTTAAGGGAAGACAGAAAATTTATACACCTACGCCATTGTGATCGATTCTGAGCCATGTCACTAAGAGTCTCCAACCATTGGTTATGATAGTCACGCGGACCCCAACCAAGTAGCCTGCATCTACCAACAAGGCTCAGACCAGAAGTTGGTGACTTCAAGGACTGATGCCATGTTTTGGTTTGGCCACCCCTAACTTTCTTCCAACCATCCCCAACACTAGTCAGCATTGCGCGTCGTGGTAATCGATGTACGTAACAAGTGGCCCAACCATCTCAGTCGATGAAGATTTACAACCTCACCAACTGATTTACCATCGTTCCCTAATACTCTGCGTCTAACCTTACTATTACTTACCCGATGATCCCAGCAGATGCGAGCAATATTTCCAAGACATCTGCGGTCAAATATTAGTAGCTTACGAGTATCTACTACTCTTAATGGCCATGTTTCTCAGTCATAAAGGAAGATAGAACGAACTGCAGAGCAGTGCACTCGTCCCTTAATTGATAGACGGATATCTCGCCTGCGCCATAGGTGACGTAAGTTGAGAAAAGATAAACGAGCTTTTTGAATCCGTGCTGAGATTTCGTCAGACACCAACCCATTGGGGCTAGTCAGACTTCCAAGATAAGTGAAGTTGTCAACGCGTTCGATTACCTCACTCCGTATGCTTGGTTCAGGTGTTGACGCAGACCAATTCTGCAGCAACAACTTGCATTTGGAGGGGATAAACGCATGTCAAACATCCTGGCATTGTTGCTCCGTGCTATCAAAAGACTGCATTTTATCAGCGTCTTCACCAAACAGGACTATGTCATCTGCGTATTCTAAGTTGATAAGTGGACCGCCTGGAAGGAGCTCAATACCCAAGAATTCAGTCGACGAGAACGTTATTTCCATCAGTAGGTCTATGAGGAAGTTAAGGAAAAATGGAGAAAATGGACAGCCTTGACGGACACCACTTGAGGTTGCAAAAACAGATGACAGTTCGCCATAAGCTCTCACTCGACTAGTAGTGTTCGAGTAAAGAGCCTTCACAAGGTTTATGTACTTCTGAGGTACGCCTTTCAATGACAGACACTGCCACAGAACCTCTCGGTCTACAGAGTCAAATGTTGTTTTTAGGTCAAGAAAGACCACCATTGTCGCTAAAATTGGACCACCATACTTAAAGACCTCTGGAGCCAATCCATCTGGACAAGCTGCTCATTCTCGTTTCAGATTAGCTATAGCCTTATGAACTTCAGCTAGAGTCAGGGGATCTACCTCGATGTTCCATCCACACTGTCTGGGGATGGTGGGTAGTTGTAGATTAGTTGAAGGCCAGCTGAACTGCTCCTTAAAGTGTTCCGCCCATCGTTCTGAACGTCTGAACTGGGAGCAGATAAGAGTTTCGTCTTTTTCCGAGATAGTCTCAATTACACTTGACTTTTTAGTTTCAGTCTCTTTTATGAGTCTGAAGAGCTGTCTGGTGTTACCTACAGCGGCCGCCTTTTCCATCTCTTTTGCTTTCGATACCCATCACTTCTCACGGTCGTTCCTTAGACTTTTAGTTAACCTAGATCTGATTCGCTTTCGCTCATCATCGTGTTCAGAGCCTGATGGGATAAGTTTGCGAGAATCCATCAGTGCAATAGACCTAGGGGAATCCATTGGTTTTTTGCAACCGCTTGGTTTAAATCACTAATAGATGTCACTGCTGTTTCCACAGCTGTTTGTATATCTTTCCAAGCAACATCTGGGTCAGCCTCGTTTTCAGAACTACTTAAGTGTGACCTCAGTTGTTCCTGGAATCTATTTTCGGCTTTCTCATCACTTAATTCAATTCTAATGGGTCTTCTCAGTGTGGCTTTCCTGAGTCCAGTGAAGCGCAAGCAGATGCGTGTCCGTATAAGAGCATGACCGGAGTCCAAACAGATATTCCAGAATGAGCGACAATATTTTATCGACCCTCTCCAACGATGACTGATGGTAATATGATCTATTTGAGTCCATCGTTGGTTTGGTGCAGGGGGTCGCCGTGTTATACGATGTCTCTCCTTATGCTTAAAATTAGTGTTTGCTAAAAATAAACGATTGTCCGAGCACAGTTGCAGCAGACGATCAACATTATCTGTTCGCTAAGTCGGAACAACAAATTACCCACCTAAATGCATTTCTGTTTGGTTTAAGTTACCTACATGGGCATTAAAGTCACCTACTACAAGTACTATGTCTGGGCGTTTAGCTTTCTGAAGTTCAGAAAGCTTTCTGTAAAAGTCATCTTTAACTTCATCCGAGCCGCAGTCAATGGGAGCATAGGCAGAAACGACGGAAAGGCAACGGCGTGTGTCCCTGTCCTTTCACGTTCTTACGGAGCCGTTAAGCCAAACAGCACATAAACGACTGTTAACGGGGATCCACTCGAATAGTGCTTATTCTGCCCTTGTAATTAATGCTATGCCTATACCTGCCAGTCCACGAGAAATAGCCATTGAGTCGCCAGATACACGGAGGGTGTATCTTGTCGGCTCTCCGTTTTGTCAAGGTGAGGTCAAGTGAATGACCACACTAGGATCCTGTATGCGTGTTTCGGAGACACAGCATACATCGATGGTACAAGATTCTAGGGTTTCATCCAATGAAGCCCGTTGACCGATTTGACATAGGGTGCGTACGTTGAAGGCTCCAATGTGTAGTTTGGAGCAAGGTTTCAGTAGACCTAGAACAGTGTTTCGCGCACTAGAATCGTTGGCTATGGTGACACTTAAGGGGGAAGCCGAAAAAGGAAGTTTAGAGGTGAAAGTCGATGTAGGAGGAATAATAGGAAGTGAAGACGGAGGTTGATTATGAATATAATGGTCTTGAGTGCTGTTAGAGATGTGAGGGCGGTTATCACTTCCCGGTTGCCCACACCGTGGAAGGGGTGTTCTGGAGGTACCTGGAAAGGGAATCGGATTAGAAATGGTCTTGGTGACCTGAGAGCGTGACCGCAGTGCCCCGGGAACAACTGCTTGAGATCAGCCACACACGACCTTTTTGTAATTTTCGTGTTGGCTACGTACTTGTTGAGACCTTACCGCCGGAGACGGATATCCTTGGGACAAGGCGAGGTGTGTATTTTTAGGGTCAACGTTTTCTAACCCCATCCCTCTTTGTGAGAAGGCAGCATCGCTGTCATGCTGGTTGTTTGAAGGAAACACCTTACTGCCGTCACATCTCT